GACTCCCTGGGCCTCACCTCAAGTTCCTCAAGGCAGAGAGAGGCCTTAGCTTTCCTTCTTTCTGGGTTCACTACGGAGTCCCTGACTGATGTTGCCAGGCCTGTCTTCTCATTTTCAGTTGCTTTTTCTGACCCTTCATGCTTCACCTCCTTCTTGTTGCCTTCCTTCCTGGGCCTGTGTTTTGAGAGGGCCTGACACACTAGGGGGTAGCGCCTAGGCCCTCGGGTGCCCCCACCCCACCCTGATGAAGTAGAATATGAAACAGAAAACTAGTAAGTAGACTGCTCAGCATTTGAGGCCGATCCAAGAGAACCAGAGATAAATGCGACAGTGACCGTGTCTGTGGAAAAGCTGGAAGAAGAAGGAGAAAAGAAAATGTATTAGCTTCTTCCCTGGCTTCGCATACATCATCTCATTTAATCATAACAATCCAGACACTATGCCTATTCGTGCAGATGAGGAAACGTGGCTCAGAGAAATGCACTGCGGTCCCGGAGCAACTGGGACCAGGGATCAGGCAGATCCTGGCGCTGCTATATGCAAATTACTCAGCCCCTGGTTTTTGTTTGCTTCTCTGTTAAATGAGGATAATCATGCACAGCCCAGAGAGTTGTCTTGAGGATTAAATAAAATAATACACTGATTAAGTAATGTGGCTCATATTCAAACTTATGCACTATAATTAGTGTAATTGTGGAACCCAGGTTCCAGTGGCTTCCAATGGCTTGCACTTCACAATGCCTTTCTGGCAGTTTTTTTTTTTTTTTTCTTTTTTAAATCACAGTGCTCTGCAGTACTTTACTCCTGGGACTTCCAGAGGACAAGGCCCTTTCTTCAGTCAGGCTGACCTAAACAGAGCGGGCCCCTCGTTCCCTTCCCGAGCCACAGCTGTGCGATGGAAAGCTGGATGGCTGAGGCCTCTAATGGAGAGCAGACCTCCCAATCTCCTCAGTCCCTCCCCTCCCCTCACAGTGGTTTTCAAATTAAAAGTACTAAGTGCTAAGGCCTAAAGAGGAGAGGGGAGCAGGAGACACAAAAATATTAAGGAAGCGAGGCTCTCTCCCTAGGAGAAGGGTATCAAAAGTCCACATCCAGGGCCACATCTTTCCCACCTCTGAGGAGCACAGGCCCTTCTAGGCTGGGCGGGCCACAAACAGAGCTTGTCCTCTCGGTCCCTGCGGAGGTCCACAGGCCGGCCGTGGTGGTAGCAACCCGTGGAGAGGGTGCAGCTGCGCACTTGCCCAGGGAACTGCTTGCTACTTCTCTCCGGAAACAAATCGAGAAAGAGAGATAGATAGAGATAGATAGATAGATAGATAGAGAGATAGATAGATAGATAGATAGATAGATAGATAGATAGATAGATAGAGAGGGCGAGGGTGAGCCAGCCGTAGGGAACCTGGAAGGGACGCTGCACCTTTAGGTCCAGCCAGCAACTGGAAGAAGGGGAAATGTGCAAGGAAGTCTGGAGAGAGAACTGTCACCCCAGGTTGCAGACTTCGGGGGAGACTCTGTTGCGGAACTCCTCCTGCCCCTTTTCCAAGACCCGGGCGCCTCTGAATTCCCAGTGTGTGAACAGGCTCAGAGCAGACTTCAAGTCTCCGCGGGTTCAGACCCCAGGCAAGGGCCGCGCCCTCACCGGTCTCCCCGCGGGAACCCCGCATCTGGGCGCGGCGTCCACAAGCCTCCTCCTAGTCTTCCCCGGGAAGGGTCCCTTCGCTGGGCTCAGGGAGGCGGTTCGCAGGCAAGAAGTGAAGGGGGTAGGGGAAGGGGCTGTTAGCGCCGTTTTCTTTGGCAAACGACCAGAGAGGCTTCATTTTCAAATCAGGAAGCTAGAAATGTGTCTCCACCCCATCAAAAATCACCAGTTTGTTTACATGTAATTTTCACAACTAAAGGCTTTGATAACTGCTACATCCTCAGGTCTACTAAGGCAAAAGGACCTCGGGTCTTCTCCGAGGAAAGTCCAATGGGGGTGGGGCTCCCCAGCCGGGGAGGACTGGGGTGGAAACAAAAAGCCAACTCCGCGGGAGACGCCCCCGAAAGCCGTAGGAGCGACGCCTCAGCCGCCTCCGGGTGACCACGGGGCGGGGACTGCAGAGCGAGTCTGGGAGGCAGGGAAGGGGGGATTTTGTTTTTGTTTTCAGGGACCGTTTTGAGTTGGTAGTAAAACGCTTGCGGGTGTCCGCTTTGCGACGGCCGGCTCGACCACGTTTCCATTTCATACGCTCGCATCCAATTTCATGCGACCCGAGGGCCTGGACGTGCGAGGCCGCGCCAGGCCGGCCGCTTTCCCCAAACTTCCCGGTCCAGCGCAGCCCCAGGGCCCGGCCTCCTCTCAGAGGGTCGCAGCCGTCCAGACTCCCGGTTTAAGGAGAGAACGCTCCTTCTTAACCCCACGACTATTTCTGAAGGAAGCAACACAAGGGGTTGAAAAACGAAATCCAGGTGCGGGCTGGGACCTTCGCACGGCGGCGCAGGCCAGCGACGGTCACCCCTCGGCGAGCACAGGGCAGCCTGGCCCCCCACGATGCCCTGGGCAGAAGCCGACGAAGACAAGACCCCGCAGTCCACGTGGGCCAGGCCCCGATTCTTGCCGGCTGCGGCTCCAGGACCACCCAGGACACCCGGCGTCCGGGGAACAATCTGGAAGCATCTTAGAACAACACCGGCGGAGTGCGGCTAGGCGGCCTCAGCGCCGCCCCCCTCCGCCTCCCCTGCGGGGCCTTCGGCGGGAGCAGAGCCGACCTCTCCCCGAGCCTCGGAGCCGCAGAGGAGAGCGCAGGGCAGGATCTGAACTCCTCCGGGCGGTGGGAGGGGCGGGCCAGTAAGGAAGGAACCGCCTCTCTCCGTGGGCCTCCAGCCTGAGGTTGCTCCTGGCCACTGGGTTTATTTTGATTTTGCAGGGAAGGCAGATGTTGACCTCTCTCCATCTTTGCTCGGCCCAGACGCGGCGACATCTTCCCCCAACCATTTGTTTCCCTGCGCCACCCCCCACCGGCGCCCCATCGCAGGAGTCAGCTCCCCAGGCCTTTAAACCTTCTGGAATGTCACACATGGAAACCTTTAGCAAATGTTTGTTAATGATCATAACAAAGGCATCATTCAAATTAGACAGGTAATTACTACCAGAAGGACAACTGGGTGCTCACTTGCTCATCCACTCTCTCTGCTTTAAATTCTCGATGAGTTAGGGCCAGAAGACAGTCCCTGCCTAGCCTCCTTTTCGGGCACAAGCGCCTCCGAAGTGAACCCTGAAGTCACTATTTGGGGGCCAGAGCGCTGGGGTCCCTCGTTCAGCAGATTCCGGTGCGACAGGGCGGGCACTGTCCGGGTAGCAGAGCAGGCCTACCCTCTTGGGTACTTCATATAAAAACTCAGATCTCAACTTTTCTTAAATAGCCTGAAAGCCAGTACCCGCTTTTTCCTATTACTCTGCGCTCTAATTTTGATGGGGGTCGTTAGTCCCCGTTCGTTATCTACAAACATTACGGTATCCTGTTAGCATTCCGAACAAGGGGCTGTTCATATATTTGCCTTCAACGATTTCCTGAAGGAACATGTGGAAGTAATAGTGAGCCGTGCAGTCACCCGAACTGAAGATGCACAAGAGGCGGGCGCGCAGAGGAGCTGGGTAATGGGGCCCCTGGCCCAGCCCCAGGTGTCTTCCCGAGCCTAACACCCCAGCAGCCGGTCCCAGTTAAGCCCAGCACCCCTTGGACTACTTCTGTGACCCTTCTCTGCCCACTGTCCGGCGTCTACCTTCCTGATGAAGGAGAAGGTGATGGCTGGCCAACGTTCCAGTCTTAACCTGGTCCAGGGAATTCCTACTGTGATGGGGTGGAGGGAAAGGATGACCCCCGCCCTTCAAACCATCCCCCCCCCCTTCCCGCAAAAGAATTGAAAATTGAGGCAGGCTAGGAGGTTAACGCGCTCCCCTCCCCCCGCGCTCGTCGGGAAGCCCCACTGCGCCCAGGTCTGGTTACTGGAGCGTCAGCGCCCCCTTTCCTTCGCGAGCAGGATCGCTGTCCCGCCTGGCGCCTTGGGAATGGGGTTTGGGGCTCCGCTCTTAACCCTGCGGCGTAGGCAGGGTCCCACCCACGCGGCGAGAAGGAGCTCGGGTCAGGTCAAAATGCACCCTCCCGCTGAGCGCGGAGGTGGCGGGCGCGTCGTGGACGATTCTCCAAACACCCAAGCCTGAGCCTTTTAGTGTGTGAGAGAAGCCGGGGCAACCTCCCGCCCCGAAAACAAAGACCCGTTAGAGGTCGTTCTGTGGGAGATTGTTCCAAATCTACACAGACTCTGGATTCTTTGCACCTTCTTTCAAACTCGTTTTCGAAACAAACAAACAAACAAACAAACAAACAAGAACTCCCCACCCACGACCCCCCCCCCCATCTTCACGTTGGGCTCCACAGTTTGTCTAATCTCATTAAAGGATTAGCGACTACGCGGCACTTTTCCTAAAAGACCTCAGGTTCAAACGACCCAACCGCTTGGAGACCTCTGCTGAGGGCCCTGTGTCTAGATAGGCTGGGAATTTCTGCAGAAAGCACACTTCTCGATTCCAGACTTATGTTCCCTTTGGGCATTAAGTACAATTTTACGTGACGTTTTTCTTCCCAGAGAATACTAAGCAACGTAGCAGAGTAGGAAATACCCCCAAACGAGGAGGTAAACTCATTCGGGAAATGATGGGCAGTTTGTATTTTCACGAACATCTTTCCTCGCGAAGCATCAACGCCTCCCTCTTCCTCCACCCCCAACCCATCTGGTCTGCTTCTCCCCGCCCCCCAGTTGTTGTCGGAGTCTGGGGGTTGGGGCTGGACCCCCTGATTGCGTAAGAGCAGCAGCGAAGGCACAACCTGAAGGTTGGGAGTTTCGGAGAGCACTGAGGTCTTGGAAACTTTTATTTTGAAGAGGCCAAGGGGGTGGGGCTTCATTTCCTGACAGCTATTTACTTAGAGCAAATGATTAGTTTTAGAAGGATGGACTATAACATTGAATCAATTACAAAACGAGGTTTTTGAGCCCAATTCAGTTGGAGCTAGAGGGAGAGAAACAGGAGGGGACTACAGGCCGTGGACACACTTTTTACTACATATGTAGGATTTTCATTTCGAATTGACATAACGGGAGAAGGTAAGGGAGAAGGGAAAAAAATGATTTTTGTTTCTAAGAGAAGTCCCTGTCAGGCCCTTTGGGCTAGAAATAGTGAAGTAACTTCACTCAAATTTTGGCAATGAGGAAAAAACAAAGTTGAAGTTGAATTCCAGTGGAATGTCCAGAAAGTAATTTATTTTGAATAAATTTCAGTTGGAAGGAAGATAACCATAGAGTTCGAAAGTCTAAGGATTTAAAAAAAAAACATTTTCCAGACCTATTTTTAAAAGCAGTGTTTTTTTTTAACAACTCTATGGCCTCTCAAAGAAATTGTTTAGGCTCACATTTTTGAGGTTTCCTTTGGGGCTGGCGTGGAATTATGTATACTGGGACGAGCACCAAGTAATGCTGTGAGTGGGGGCAGAGGTGTTTGCCCTCTTTTTGGCAGTGGGTCCTGGAAGACGACAGGTTTTTAATGAGTATTTTTCATTCCTTGCGGTTTGGCGGGACATCGTTGCCGCTGGTGGCATGGAACGCGGCTGAAACCCTGGGGAAGGTGGGGACAGAAGAGCGCGCGTGGGGCGCAGGAGGAGTTGCAGGGAGGATTGGAGTGAAGGGCTCGGCTGGAGGAGGCTGGACCTTGGGTGCTCGCTGGGCGCAATCGGCGCCGGCCCAGGGCGCATAATTACTGGACGGCGCAGCGCGGGCTGCGAATTGGGGCCAGATTTCAGTGCTACGGTGGCGGCTGCGAGACAAGCAGAGGGGGCACGGACTGGGAGAGGGTCTGGGGAGCTCCTCAGCGGTTTGCGGGATCAGCGAAGTGTGAGGGAGAGCGGGCGCCAGCCCCGCGGTGCGCTCGGGTTGCGCGCCCTAGCGCGGGGGCGACGGAGGCGCGCGCGGGCGGGCAGGCTGTCTGGAGTAACGACAAACACATTTGGCCTGGAGTGAAGAAGTCGTCGCCGCCTCGCATTCCAGCAACTGGGATTTGAGGAATTTCTAACTGCGCTCCAAGGGGGCCTCATCGCCTCTGTGGTCCCCACCACTACCCGTCTTTGCGCGCCCCCTTCCTCGCGGGAACCTTTTTTTTTTTTTTTTATAAAGGCCGGAGCTCTGCTACTGCCCATTACGGGCCGCAGGAAGGAAAGAAGGAAGATCGCCAGAGCGCCCAACTTCTTGTGGGAAGGTTAGGGATGAGTTGGAACAGGGAAACTTGGTTTCAGGTAAGATGGAAAGAGGGAGGCGAACCATCTTCACTACCCCCCTCCGGGCACCGAAGCCCGGGATCTCCCTCCCACGCCCCTTTCCGCGCGGGAATGCGTGGCACTCGCCGCCTGTACTAGCCCTGCGCTGCTTCATCCTCTCCAGCGTCCACTCTATATTCCGCTCTCTAAGCCGGCCTCCTACTCTCTGCGGGGCGGTCTTCCTGCGTCCCTACATTCTCTGTCGTCTATCCCCGTGGAAGTCGGCTTTTACGTTTACACGTGAGATTAATTTTCCCCCGCAGAGCAAAGGGAGCGGGCGACGTTCACTTGGCTTGGAGACAACTGGGAACAACGGTTCTGTTCGGAAAGGGTGGTCGTGGCCAGCTCAGAGCCAGAGGGAGTGTGACCCAGTGAGGGGGCCCGAGGTCCCCGCTGCCTGGCCAGGTGTGCTGGAGCTGCCAATGGCCTGACCAAGCCTCGGCCAGGAAGGAAGTTCTTAGCTGTCTGTCAGTCGGCTGTCCGTCTATCCTGCAGCTAGAGCGTCCGTCTGGCACTTTGCTCCCCCAGCCCCACGAAGACATTAGGATGTACAGAAAAGTGTTTGGAAGAACTCGCTACTCACCTCTGAGAGTGAGAGGCAAACCCGGGCTGGAGAGGGAGCTAGAACGGCCCTTATCAGGCCCGGGCTGCCCCGCGCCTGGCCGGGCTGCCTGGAAAAGCTTGGGGCTGGGCGGTGTGGGAAATGGCTTTTTGGCTCCACAGCCTAATTGCTCAACGTTTTGGACCGCCTCACCACGGTCGCTCTCCACCAGGATTAGGCAGCTTTTTAGAACAGGAAGAGACATCCAGGGCAAATGGGCGCGACAATCTTCCGCACAGCTCCTGGGACTAACACCCCGGAGCCCAGCGAGCCCCAGGGGCCGCAAAAAGGGAAGGAGGAGCGCCCCGGGCGTGCGCACACACGCTACGGCGTTGGCTCTGTTTTTACGCCCCCACCCCCGCCATATGACCCACCCGGTCTGTGGTGCTGCTGCTTTGCATCCCTTTCCTCTTTTCCAGCCCCCCGGCTTCCTCTTTCCTACAGTCTTCACGATAAAGGGGGCCAGCCCTTACCCTGCTCCCCGACAGGCGAGGGCTAGACCAGCCTAGCGTTGACTGCCCTGGTCAGTTCTTGCTTCAGGGCTCTTGCAATATTGCTTTTGGTCTCACCCAAGTGTATCTGGACTCCAGAATCTGAGTCCTGAGAGCGAGCGGGGAGGTAGAAGGGGGAGGTAGGTTGGGGAGGGGGAAGGAGATAGTCGTAAGGAACCCGTAACTGACTCTGCCCTGGCACGGGCCGTATATTGACCGAGAAGGACCCTAAGCAGAGACCTAGCTCTCGGCTCCCGGCCCCAGGTCCGCTTTCCTCCTAGGGCCGGGGCTGGGGAGGGGTGAAAGGGGAGGGGCATGGAGTAGGCTTTCCAGCTGCAAACGCGTCTGGCGCCGAGGCGGGCCGGGTTTGTTTCTCCTGGGGACCGGCCGTGGGCGGCGCGCAGTGCTGGGACGCGTCCTGGGGACTTGGTGGTCAGAGCCTTCCCGCAAACTCCAGCGGTTGGGGGTGGGGAACTCATCTGGCCTCCGTGGAGCCGCGGGACGATTACTTTTTGCTGTTGGAAAAGTAGCAATTCTGGGGAAAGAGCTAAAAGCCAGCTCGGGGACCGAAAGGTGTGGCTCTCAGCGTCTCTCGCATCTGGTTTCGCGGGGTCCCCGAGTAGCATCATCTGTCGGGGGCGATGCGGGCTGGTCTCCCTGCACTGGATGCAGGGTGGAGGGCAAATTGCTTTTGCCCACTAGGACTGCGTTCTAGTCCGGGCTCAGCTAGTGCTAGTCTTTTGCTGAATTTGCTCAGTGGCATTTCCTTTTGTTCAAAAACTGAACAGTGAGCCAGGGATCGGTTAGAAGTAGAATGGAGGGGATAAAGAAAACCTCGGCCGTGGCTTTCTTCTCTTCTTACTGCAGTCTTCCTTCCCTGCGGAAGCGGAGCTAGAGGTGCCGGCGGGCGCGAGTGTGCACTTTGGTAGCGGCCGCAAAGGCGAGCGTCGAGCAAGGGGTTACTGGGGGAGGCTCGGTGCACAGAAGCCGAGGGGGCGCAGTGCCGGACGGATCGCCGGGGCCTTCTCCAGCAGCAGCTCGCAGCCGCAGCCGTGTTACTTTTGAGCCCATAGGAGGCGCTGGCGCGCGACTGTAACCCTAAACCCCGGGTTCCTCTCTTTTTACACCCCTCCCAGCTCCCCTCCCTCCACCCGGTCCAGCCCCCTCTTGGGTCTCAACTGAAAACAATGCAAACGCCAAACGTCTTGCCTGGGGCGCTGCGGCGGCTGCAGCTCTGAGGCCAGGAGCGCGGAGGACTAGGGCGCAGAACCCCGGAGCGGACGGTCGTCACTACCATCCCCTGGTGTTCGAGCCGTGGAGGGCGTGGAGGTGGCAGGAGTGGGAGCGGCCCTTTCCCTGTACGTGTGGGTGTGGCGGGGCAGGGGCTGGACAGTGTTATCACGGAACCTCCCTGGCGAGGGTGGGCGAGGGGCGGTGGGCGAGCGGTGGTCAGGGCTGCGCTGTCGGGGACCCGGAGCTTGAGCGGACGCGAAAGCCTGCAAGCCAGCGGGTAAGATCTGCGGGGCTGCTGCGCCCTCTGGCGGGCTCCCAGAGTGCGGTCCAGTCTTCCGCCAGCCTCCCGCGTCGGAGAGCCGGGCTGAGCCCGAGGGGGCCCCCGAAGACCACCCCGGGTCACCTTTTCTCCTTCTGAAAGCCTCCAGTAGGTGCCTCGCAGGCACTAGATCGGCCTGGGAGGCGCTGGGCGGGCGGTAGGGAGCGGAGGTCTCCGGGTTTGGGGGTGAGGATGGGGCGTCGTAATAATTAAATATGGGAGAAGCGGAGGACCACAGAGGCTGGAAGGTCCTCTGAGCTCATGGTGGGTAGGAGGGACTAGTCCCTGACTTGTTTTCATCTTCTAGCACACTTCCCTGCTGTGTAGGCGCCTGTTGCTGTTTGTTTTACGACCCCGCGTTATTGTGTAAACGGGAACACTCGTTTCCAGTCCGCGATTCCGGGGCTGCGCGGTTGTCACGGCCCAGCCCGGTGGGATTAGAGGGGTGACAATGGCATGCGAACAGATCGGGCTGCGCGGGACCCAGGTGGCCTCCCTCCTCGAGTGGGTGGAAACTCCAAGATGAGAACAGCGTTGGCTAAACAAAATGCTGAACCACCGAACCTCCTCTCGAGTGGCTTTCCCTGAACTTTTGAGGCCTGGGATGGCAGTGTCATTTCCCGGCTCCCGAGGCCCGGCTGCCCCTACTCACAGTGAGATAGTGATAGTACCTGTCCCCTGACCCCTGAATTTTTCTGCCCCCCCCCCCCCCCCCCCGCAGAGAGATTCAGAAACAATTCCTCCATTCCTGCTTCCATTCTTCGGTCTTTGAAAAGGACGTCACTATGAAACCTTAAAGTACAATCTAAGAAAGGAAGAAATTAAAAGTTAAGCTTTGGGACATTTTAGCGCAGAATTTACGGAGGCATCTGTGTCCCCAGGAAACTGTGGACCCACGTCCTTGGACCAACACTGCCATCTGCTGCCCACACTCGAGAACTGCAGCGCCTCTCTGAGGGAACGGGCTTCCCGGAGACTCTAAGCAAGTTGTGGCCGAAGGACGCGTTTTGGGGGGAGGGCAGCCGGTAGGACCTAGTGAAAGATGACTGAAGATCTTTTCCTATAAAGCCGCAAGAATCGTTGGGAGATTAGCATTTATTTTGTGGATCTTTGTGTACTTTCTTTTTTGCTTTGATTGTTACTTCTTGGCATATCAGAGCAGAATTTTCATTTCCCTTTGAGGAAAGCCCTAGTGTCCTGGGCTTGGTGATCCCCGGCTCAAGGGTATTGCAAGCTTTTACACCGAAGGTCGTCCCACTAGGAGTCGCACCAGCTTGGTTACAATCCAAGGGGAGTGCCATGTTAGTCTCCATGGTTAAATATCTGATGCAGGGAGAGCAGAAGGGTTTGTGAAGGTACGTTGTCCCATTAACTGCCTCCATGTAGAAATACTCCAGCCCCAACCCACCGCTGGAATGTCTAACGGAGCTCAGGGAGATCAAAACAGCAAAACAGGCTGTACTGAGCTGTAGATCCCGGTCAGCACACCCTCCCTGAAGTTACCACCGGTGTAGAAAGGCCCTTGGACTGACTGGGCTGAAGTTATGAGACCGAGTAGAACATTTGTCACAGGGGGAAAAACAGGATATGTAATTTTCACAGTTAGAATTAACTTAGGAGAGCTGACATTAACTAAACCTCGAAAATTTGAATCTTGAAGCCGTCAGTGGCTTTTGGGACTGTGAGAGCGTCTCCTGTGGCCTTTAATCAGGCCAGGGTGGGGTGAAACTCAATATTCACAGGCTCCGCAGCAGGCGCATCGTGCAGTGGCTGAGCGGGATGCTGGTCTGTGGCTGTATGAGAAGGATGCTGCATGCGTACATCTGGAAATCGGCCCCTGCATCGCTTGCTCTGTAAACTCTAGCTGAGCTTGTTGTCTTTGGTTGTGGAGCCACACTCAAGGGCTCTTCACTTCTGCTTGCAGGATGAGATGGCAGCCTATTAAAGAGAGAGAATGATGCCTGCAAACAGATACGGTCTCTGTTTTTGTGACTGTGTATTGGTTCAGCTGAAAATAGTCTGAATCGCTACACCAGGCCTGGGCAGACTGAGCTCAGATCAGCTTCTCCCCTGGGCAGATGACGCAGGGCACGCCACACGCCTCTGGGGCCCGGCTTTCTCAGGAAGAAGTGGAGTAGCCACGCTTGACATTCCTCTCATCGAAAACAGCTGAGAGGAGTCTGCAGGAAAAAGAATCAATATGAAAACCAGTAGATGTCGTTTCCAAAGCAATTAAACCATATAATTTAATCTTTACAATAATGTAGTAAGGCAAGCTGGCAAGTCAGGTGTGACTATCCCTGGTTTATAGAAGAAGAGACGGAGGGTCAGAGAGATGAACAAAGTGTCAGATGTGGGATCAGAGCCTAGTCCAATGTGATTCCTATCATACCTTCTTTCTTTAAAAAATATTTATTTTCAGAGAGAGGGCAAGGTCAGGGAGAAAGAGAGGGACAGAAACATCACTGTGTGGTTGCCTCTTGAGCCTCCCTACTGGGGACCTGGCCTGCAACCCAGGCATGTGCCCTGAATGGGACTCAAACCAGCAACCCTTTAGTTTGTAGCCCAGCACTCAATCTACTGAACCACACTAGCCAGAGCTGGTTTCCAGCATATCTTCTAAGGGAAGGAAGGAGAAAGACAAGAGAAAGGTGTGTGTAGGGGTTGGGAGGGGGGCATTGTGGGGAAGATCACAAGTCCTTGCCTGAAATTGAACGTTTCTTAAACTTGTGGCAAATGTTTTTGAGTTGTGACTATAGAAGATTGAGACCAAAGTCTAACATACACCAGTAGTTGGCACGAGAGGAATGATTATGATTTATTTAGAAAAAGCTGTGGTTGAAAAGTATCGTTTCTCCTCTCAAAGTGATTTGTTCTTGCTGACTTGTCATGTGCCATGTTTCTCTGAATTTGTAATGTCCGTGAGTCATATTTGCACATGTGACTTCTGCATGAGCTCCAGGGGAGGGGGTACTGATCGAGGATGAGCTTTTACTCCCACAGGAGAAAAGCACGGACACAGCAAGTCTCTTGGAGGCTGTTGCTGCAGGGCCACGAGGCAGGGAGGCCTCTGTTCTCTCTGGTGGTTTTCCATGACTTCCCGGCAGGGTGAACACTGCTATTACTCACGAGGAAATTGATGAGTAATGACATGAAACTTAAATCTGCTTGGATTTCTAGCCAGGGAACCACTCTTATCAGAGAAGGGCGTTCGAAATCTTAAGCAAAAACATGTTGATTTCTTATTATTGGCATCATTATCGCTTATCCCCCCAGGCCCTGTTTTCATTGCCCACTTTGTATGTCAGTAAGTATCCTACCTGGCAGCGGGTCTACTGTATCTGGATGCGCAGAAGGAAATCTGGTGGGGCCTGGCCAGGGCAAAACGATGCTCAGAGCCTGCCCTGTAAAAGCGGCAAACGCCTCTCTTAAGCCAGAGAATGCTTTAAAGATGCGTTGTTGGCAAGCCTTGCTAAAGAAACACAGGATATAAATGTGATAAAACCCAAGACAGCAAGCTGGTTCTGGAGTGTTCCTTTGAAGTTGTCTTAAGTGGATTATCAGTGGGAGGCTGATATAAATTCGGACAAACACGCCGGCCCTCACTGCTAATTGAGGTAACTCAGGCTAGCCATCCTGGCTCTGGGGCCCACTGTGCCCATTGCAGCAGCTGTGTGGAAAACCCTGCACCCAGGAGGGGCACATGCCCAGATCCTCCGGCGCCCTCCGCCAGCCATCATTCTACAAGCTGCGGTGGGGTTCACAGCAGTGCCTTGTGCTGCTCTCACTGTGGTGAGCAGAGAGATAAAGCAGGGCCCCGATTTGCATAAGGAAATAGTTGGGAGTGGGGGAGGGGAACACGAGGCTGAGTCACTGACCTTCCCTTGAGAGGGACCATATGGTGGACTGGAGAGTGCGTGGCTTTTGCATCGCACAGACTTCGTGTTGGAATCCTGGCTTTGGCACCAGCTGTGTGACTTCTAGTCATTTGCTAAACCTCTCTGAGCCTCAACTGACACTTAAATCGGTCACAGGGTTATCGTTAACAACCACAACACACACAGGAAAACTTTGGCAGAGTAAATATTGGTTTCTCATTCCTGCCTTGGAGAAAACAGTAATTTTTCCCCCGTCTAACTCACCCTCTTCCCTGTTACCCGGCACTTCATCTTTCTTCCTCCTTCATTTTCCTGGGAGAATTCAATGAAGCAGATATCCGATTTCTGCAAATAGATTGCCTCGTCACGTTAAAGCCAAAATTCGTGATCAGGTGTCACCAAAAACCAGTAGGCTATTATCTCTCGGATTCCCCCCCCCCAACCAAACACACACACCCCCAAACCAAAATCGTATAACTAGAATATGCATACATTGAATTTCTACTTTTTAATTTTGCTTTTTAGGCAGTTTAATTCAGGAATTGCATACACACATCTCAGTTTCCAAAGTCAGTGACGGACCAGATTCAGTCCCGTGATGTCATTCCCATGCCATTCGGGGGACCCCGGGCAGCCCAGGCTGCTTCAGTTAAAATGCAGGGGCTCAGCAGCTCCGACACCAGCAAGCCCGTTTACAGGTCCTCTTCACCGCCTTCAGGAAGACCCCTTTATCAGCGACTTCGTGTGGGAAGGGCAGAGGGAGACAAAATAAAGTGAGTGGGGGTGCGCACGAAAAGACAAAGATCAAGAAAAGGACTTTTCCGAGGGTTGGCCGGATCAGTGATTTTCTCACAGGGCAACAGGGGACCCTCTTTAATTGTTCTCTCCCTTAATATTTATTATCCTACTCGCCTTCCTTCCTTCTTGCCCACTGCTTTCCCAGCTTGTGTGTTGTGCTCATTCAGTTTCAATCTCTCGCTCCATTTCTCTTCATTCCCCAGATTTGGTTGCAGAGAATCAGAATTCGAAACTTGGTTTCTGTAGGTGCTATTATACTCTTCTCGTGAAAATGAATCGGTTTCCATCAAATGTGGTCCTGGGCTCTACTGCATCCCTCGAGACACAGGCATTTAGTCACACTTTCCTCTCTCATTTCCTTTCCCTTCTTTGTGCATCTCCCTTCCATGTCCATGGGCTCGTTTGGCTTGAGTGAGCGCAGTAGGTCCTAGGAGAACCGAAATGTGCCTGGGAGGACGGAGCCTGGAGTGGGTCTCTGCATCACAAAGTGACGTTATCCTCTGAGTGACATGGGTTCATGGGACTTTCGAAAACTCTGGATCTTAGAGAATGAGATATTTGTTCCAGCCCAGTATCTTTTCTAAAGGTTGTAGAGGATGTGACCTTCCTGTACTTTCTGTAGTGAAACACAGCAAGTGACAATCCATTTTGAGTGAAAACAGCTCAAGTTTGGAAAGTTGAGTAAATACATGTGTTTACTTCGTTTTTCATGCTCTTAATTGAAATGGTGTAAAAGGAACGGTTCTCTTGGACATATGCCATGACCATAAAATGAGACATTTCGGAATTTGAAAACTCTGCCATCCAGAGCGTTTCGGCTTCAGATGGCTTCTGTCATGAACTTGGGCCCCATCGGGCTGTTCGACTCTTTCTTTATAGATGTTATATTATTTTAACTGTGAATCTTACACTGGGGTGTTTTTTTTTTTTACTAAAATGATGTTGTTGACATTTTCTGTAGCTCACAAGACAAAGAGAGCAAGGCTCATGGGCTCTTTCTATTGGCTAACACTGTTTCTGTTTGACTTTTCACTTTTCAGTTTTCTGGAGCGATGGGGACGCCCCACCTGGCACTCCTGGTCGTAGGCTGTCTCCTCACAGGTATGGATCCCAGTCTTCCCAGGGTTTGTTATCCTGGGGGAAGCCTTGTTGTCCATGTTCTGGGCTCCAGGGCATAACCAGTCCAAAAGAGTGAAGAGAAGCAGAAAACTATAGGATGTTATCTAGACTGACCACAAACCTTCGTTTCCTATTTCAAAAAGAATGTTCTCCAGGGCCAGTTTTAGGGGTATGTCAATCCTAGTATTGAAGTATTGTTAGGAAACATTTCTCTGCCCTCTTCCTTTTCTTGAGACATGGGCTTCCAGTTAACATGGGCTTCCAGTAGAGGTGGATCAGAGAAACTCAAAGTTTAAAAAGAAAAGGAAAATTCTGGTCAAGGAAATGACACCTGTTGTGATGTTAGAGAAACACCCACCCTTCCCAGGGTCTTTTGTTACTCTGGGTTCTTTATGCCTGCTGCCGAGTTAGGAACTGTGGCTCTCAATGCAGGAGTTTGCTAAAAAGGAAAGGAATTATTTAATTAAAAGTTATACAGGCTTAGAATAATGGTGGAATTCTGCTGTTAAATCTCCCTTCAGAAACAAAGATACACCCGTGAACACACAATCCTGCCCTCCCCCTTTGCCCAGCCAGGCTAGTCTGAGCACGCCAGGCAGAAGTACTGCCCCCCAGAAGAAAACAAACAGAAGTCTGCAGTTCACTTCTCCCGGCGACTTCCAGTAATCCGTGCTCCGCTGGGCAGGTCTCCCTGGGTTCTCGGCACCGCAGCTGTGTCACCGTGATCTCCAGTTATAAATCAAAGCCACAAGAAACCATGTGGCACCCCCTGGTGGACAGCCTGGGAGAGTCCTTTCACCCCCTGTTGACCCAAGTGGGCCGGCAAGGTACCATGTTGTCTCCATCTCACCTGGTGCCTGCCTTTTTGTTTAAATCCCATGCTGGATCCTGCTCCCCAACCCCATTTCCAGTTCTTCCCACAACTGGCTAAACCTGCTAGCACTCCGTATTGTTCTGCCCTTCTGGGCTGCCATAGTTAGTCTGGGCAGGTGTGGCCCTGATGTGTGGAGTGAACCATGTCCAAGCTCTCACACAAGCGCTGTAACTGGGGAGCAGCTGCCTCCCAGCTACATCATGGGTCCAAGTCATGCCCACCTCCCTGGCTCCACGCAGGCACCAGTTTTAATGCTATTAAAACACCAGCCAATTTCTTTAGATGCACCCCATTACAGCAGGTCATACCTATCTTAAGTGGAAGATGCTTAAATTGCTAGGAAATCTTAGAACCACCTTTTTCAGCCATTCTTTTGTAAAGGATCTAATAGAATATTTGACTCTTGGGATTCCCACTAACTCTTCTTCACCATGAGGATGCCATTGGAGCCATTTGTTGAAATATTTATTGGGCTTTTCTTAATTACCATCCAGATATTTATGCATTGCAGATGTTCACCATGAAACCAGTAGTTTTTCTAGTCTGAGGCGTTTAACTCAAACCTATTACCACGTTTAGGCCTTATCTGTATGGATACTATAGAATTGAGCAAGATCAGTGATTTAGTAGTTGTAAACTCCACTAATTATATGTAAGTAACAGAGCGGTAGGCGACTCAGTTGTGCTTCCCACTTCTGTCTTAACAAGCTACAGGGCTTATAGTGGCCCTCGTTAAAGATGGGTGGGATCTCGGGCTCTGAGGCAGATTAGGGATCATTAATTACTGGAGTGTTTTCTAACATCAGGACAGGGAAGACTCACTCCCTCTTCCCACCGAAGAACAGTTTTGGAGGGGAGTAGTGGGACTTAAAAAAAGGCTATTTTTAATTGTATTGTGCAATGTAAAAATAAAATTGTCAACTCTTTTAGATTAAAAAATGTCAATATCATGAAAGACAAAAAGGCTGAGGAACTAAGACTGTAGCTCATCCCTGAGTGGCCCCTGGATCCAACAACAAAAAGGCTAGTAAAGACGCTGGAACAACTGGGGAAAGATTTTACACACACACACAATAGTAACATTGTATTAATGTGAAATTTATTGGGTGTGATCATCATTTTTTGGTTGTGCAGGAGGATGTCCTTGTTTTTAGGATGTAACATGTTGACATATTAAATCAGAATTGCAGTGTCTACAAGTAACTCTTAAATAGTTCAACAAAATACACGTGTATGTGTGTGAACGAGAGAAAAAAGTATGTATGGGAAACTCAAAATCAGCTGAAATAAAATTTGTTTAAAGATGAAAACATAACACATAATGTATCTTCTGTCAATTTTATAGACAGGGGAAGCTGAAATTTCAGGCCCTAAGATAAACTCAGACTTTTTCCCCTCTTGGGCTTTACTTATTCTTATTTTTGAATGAAAATCCACCTTGTCCCTCCTTGGTTTCTGGAAGTCGTTAGAGAGAAGGCAGGTCTGAGTGTGGTGAGACATGAAAGATGTGTACTTCTGGAGCACAGATCTGCTTTGTGCTGGGTTCAGTGAGTCTCCCTGCTCCTGTTCTCCTCCCCTTTCTTACTCAGGGAAGCCTCTGCAGGGGACGTTGGCAATAAAGAACCCATATGTGCTTTGAGCCTATACCGTCTTGGGATATTTTATGGCCACACATAAGAGTCTGAAATATGGAATTGGACTCAGACGTCCTCTGTCCGAGTGTTTGGGGGCTGTGAGTCTGGAGGGCTTAGTGCAGCTATTGAGGCTTTTGGAGCGATTGCTGCTCTCAGCAGATGTGGTGGCTCTTATAATGGGGGGCCTTTCATGGGCCTCTAGGCGAACGGATTTTTGTGTAGAAATGGTTATTGTTCATGTAAGCGGCTGCTGTGGCTTCTCTTGGTTCTCTGGGTGAAACCGTCCCTTCTGGCTGCGTCCTATTCAGAGCCTGTTTCCTTTTCCAGGGCCGAGTGTCATTTTCAGCCAGCTTTCATTACCCTCCATCCTCCCAAACGAAAATGAAAAGGTTGTGCAGCTGAATTCATCCTTTTCTCTGAGATGCTTTGGGGAGAGTGAAGTGTCCTGGCTGTACCCCATATCTGAGGACAAGAAGGCCAATGTGACCATCAGAAATGAGGAGAACAACAGTGGCCTTTTTGTGAAAGTGCTAGAAGTGGCCAATGCCTCGGCGGCTCACACAGGACTGTACACTTGCTATTACAACCACACGCAGACGGAAGAAAACGAGATCGAAGGCAGTCACATCTACATCTATGTGCCAGGTGAGCTGGACTGGTCCCCGGACCCAGCTGGCTGTTGTCCTGTCTCTCGTCGAGGTTTAAAAGACTGTAAGAGTAATAAATATTTACTGGAGAAAATTAGAAAAATACAGGTGAACACACACAATTAAGTTGATCATTTGTAATGTCATCATGAAATAATTCCTTGTGAACATTTTGGAACTGTGGTAAGCTTCAGAAATCATTTTTATTGTGGCATCTCCTTTATCAGCATCACACCAAAAAAATCTGAGATGTGCTCGTTTCTGTTCAGTTCGATCAAGTTCCACAAATGTTTGCTGCACCTTTCCTGTGTGTCAGGCACTGTGCTGTGTGTTGGGGGCACAGGTTTATTAGGTAGGTGCTGTTTTGGACTTGCTTATAGCTCATTACAATGGTTTACACATAAACAAGCTGTTCCTCAAATTCACTAATACATGCGTCTACTCTTGATGAATTGGAAAGGATTTTTTTCTTTTTATTAAATTTAGAGGCAAATTTTCTAGTAATGATGTTATGATGGATTCTGTCCTCTGAGAAGCAGATGTCAAGGTAGGAGTAGGGTGGGGTTAAGCATGTGAGGGCTTTATTAGGGAGAGGCCTATGTGAGAAAATGGGGAGGGATCCCACAGAGTCTGCTAGAAATGTTTGCATGGTAAGTGTGACCCCCGAATGAAGGAGAGCGGGGGGAAGTTGGGGCAGATGAGTCCTAGACCTCTACGGAAGGCCCTGGAGTTCTCCAGCCTAAGCAACCCAGTTCCACATGGTCATTGGCTGAAAGCAGCCCTGGAGGCTGTGGCCTTGGTTGTGATGGATTTCAGAGCTGGCGCCCCCACTTGGAGGAATGCTGAAGGGTGCTTCCTCACTGCTGCCACTCTGACTGACTGCTTTAGCCATGAGCTGACTGACTGTAGGGGGCAGACATTTTAAAAAGCATTTCCTAATTTAAAACTTCTGTGTTCTTTAGTTTTCAACAGAGTCGATTATTTTATTGCCCATGTTTTGTTTTGTTTAGTAATTTAAATTTTAATTCCTGGCTAATATATGTATTATCACTATTTTTTTTATTATGGTATAAGCAATTTTGTGTTGTTCATACTTTAAAATCATCTTCTAATCATCAGCAATATTATGATGACTAGTGTTAGTGGGGTGACAGCTTCTGAACATATGTGGAAAGTAAAATTCATACCTACTAAGGTTAATGCCAATGGGATACATTTTGTATGTGTGTGTATATATGTGAAGTTAACACCTAATGTGCTTCTCTTTCTTTTTTAAACCACAGACCCGGATGTAGCCTTCGTACCTCTAGGAATGACAGATTATTTAGTCATCGTGGAGAACGACGACTTTGCCATCATACCTTGTCGCACGACCGATCCTCAGACGCCGGTGACCTTACTCAGCAGGGACGGAGTGGTCCTGGCTGCCTATGACAGCCGGCAGGGCTTCAACGGAAGCTTCACTGGGGGGCCCTACGTCTGCGAGGCCATCGTCAGAGGGAAGAAGTTCCAGACCATCCCATTCAACATCTATGCTTTAAAAGGTAACCGCCCTCTCTCTCCTCCTTTAAATGAGACTTACAGGCCTATATTGTACACCTGAAACTAATATAAGTTACAGGCAAAATAATCACATGCATACAGTATTTTTTTTAATAGTCCCTGGTGATGGAGATCCTGGATTCCGACTTGGGGATTTAGAACCTGACTTTTCTGTGCGGTGTTAGGCTGGCTTCTGTGGCTATAGTAACACGAAACTTAGCCTTACTGTAGGTAAAAGCTTTCTTACCCCTGTCAGATTTCGTGTTTCATCGGCTGACTTCAAAATACTATAAGGAATTTTTTCATTGTGTAAGCCTCTTACTGTTTTATTCACATTCCTGACTACAGAGGCCCTAAAAACAAACATACACTTGGGGTGGGGGGTGTGGGTGGACGCCTAGGTTCATTTTAGTAACTAAGGAAAAGTGATTTTGATTTTGAGAAAAGCAGGTAGTTGTAGACTTCATCCCTTTGATGTGATAGTTTAATGAGATTGGGAAAGTATAATACATGTTCGTGTCAGCAATTGATGGCACACTTAACACGCAGGCAAGGCAGCAGTGAGAGCATGCCATTTAACTCTCGTTAAGGGCCTGTTTTATGCCAGGCACTGTGTGGGGCTCTTGAGAAGCACTGATAATGGCTGGGGAGCAGAGTAGGAGAGAAGAGAGTGGAGGGCGGGATAGGAGCCAAGTGCCCAGAGGAGTGCTCGTCAGCAGAGGCTGGTTGATTAAATGACTAAACACACCAGCAAAGGCGACAGCAGAAGAGAATAGTCACAGGCGCCCAGACGCCTGGCAATGTGGCATTCTGTTCAATTGGAACTTATTCTTACTATTGTTAGTATTGTGTGTGTGTGTGTGTGTGTGTGTGTTATTTTGTATGATAACTACATGCCAAATTATATATGCCAACTCAAAATGAAGGCTTCTGAGATTTTCAAAATTTTGCCTTGATCAAAGTGGTTTGCAGGTTATTTTTCATGATTTTCTTAAAAAAACCCAAATGCCCCAAACCTCCTAAGATCCTAACTCTTAAGATCTCCTCTGAGATCCACAGATATTTAGGTCCTTTTGTTTGTTCTTTTTTGAAATAGCAACCTCAGAACTTGACCTAGAATTGGAAGCTCCTAAAACTGTGTACAAGTCAGGGGAAACCATTGCGCTCACCTGCATCGTCTTCAACAACGAGGTGGTGGACTTTCAGTGGACTTACCCTGGAGAAGTGGTGGGTACTCACGAGGCTCCTGGCATTGTGGTGAGGAGCAGGGCTCAAGAGCCCTGTTTGGCATGGACAGAGTGTGGCACTTTGCTTCTCCAGACCTCAGCTTCCCATCTGTACAGCGGGCATATTTGGCTAGATGACTTTATGGCTTTTTGAGCAGTGGGAGAGTTTGAGGTGACAATAGCCGGACCAGGACATCCAGCATGTATCAAGGTTGTACCCTGAACCTTCTTGTTCATAAGTCAGAAAGGAATAGGAAGGTTCAATGTATAAAGGACAAAGCCAAAGCAGGGCGGGATTGAGGGTGGGGGGTGCGGATGGCCAGGGTGGGTGGGAGCGGTGGGGGGGAAAATGGAGACAGTTGTACTTGAACAACAATAAAAAAAAGAAATAAGGTTCAGTGCCTTCAAGATAACAACCAAAATGTTAGAAAAGCAAAAAAAAAAAAAAAGAATGTACTTCATTGCTTATTGGTGAGACAGTCATATAGTCTCACTTTTGTGACTCCTGTGCCTTTGGGTTTTGAGGCATTAGTCATGCTGGTTGCCTGACCCCTTCCATTTCTGCTTTGTTGCCTGCCACCCAGGATGCCGTTCTGCCTCCTCCCTGCCTAGTCTTTCTCTGCATGGCTGACCTTTAGTGGCCAAGCATCACTTGAATCATTCAGCAGGGACTTAGTGGTTGTGCTAAATCCCAAGCAGTCTGCTCGAAGACAGTCCATGCACAGAAGGAGGAAGAAGGGAGGAGTAGAGATGCGTGTGGGGAAGAGGGACCACCGTGCCATCTCTGGTCACTGTGCATTGACACATAGGGCCTCACTCATTCTAATGCCTGGGCTGCATGTGTACGAGAGAACTGAGTGTCAAAGGGAGTGGCAGTCCAACGCAGAAATGGTTAACAGGGCTCATTACAGCAGCCTTGGAGGACAAAAACCACACATACATTTTCCCCTTCACTCCTGGTATGCAAATTTCTGCTTTTGTACATATTCGCTGAAATAATGAAGCTATTTGATCTTTCTGTTCGTACTTGATTGCCTTTAATACTTGGAACATAAAATTTCTTTTTCATTTATTAGAGATAGACACTTTTTCTCTCCAAACCAAAGTACATGCTATTTGGCCTCCAAATATGCAGATATGCAATCAGTTTTTTGTCTGATAATAAAAGTAATGCAGCATTACTCTTGAAACTTTATAAAATATAGGGAAACAGGAAAAGGCATTTCCCAGAGCATCACTGTTAGTATCTTAGGGAGATAAATCCTTTAAATACTTTGTATATGTGATAAATGTTCAATAATCAATAGGTATTATACTTTTAATAGTACTTTGTTATATCCTTTCCTCTTTGGCAATATAGCACAAACCCCTTACTAAGTCATTAAATATCCTTTCAAAACATGATTTTGTAAAGAGGTAGCTTAAAAGCAATTTTTTAAGTCAGATTTTATTGTTTAGAGCCATTTAGGTTTTCAGCAAACTCGAGTGGAAGGTGCAGGGATTCCCCACACGTGCACAACCGACCCCATGTCACCATTCCTCCCAGGGCAGTGCGTTGTCACACTGTCCACCTGTTGTCACCCCCCAGCCTTAGTTTACAGGTGGGTTCCCTCCTAAGAGCTGTCTTTTTAAAGTCAATTTTCTTTCTTCTGCTGTAGAAGAGCAAAGGTGTCATGATGCTGGAGGAAATCAAGGACCCATCCCTCAAACTGGTGTACACGCTGATGGTCCCCAAGGCCACGGTGAAAGACAGTGGAGATTACGAATGTGTTGCCCGCCAGGCCACCAGCGAGGTCAAAGAAATGAAGAAAGTCACCATTTCTGTCCACGGTACATTCTTTCTAAAATGTCAGCACCCACGCTGCTCGGGACCCACTGCGCGGTAATCATTATTTACTGGAAACTCTTCCCTGTACAGAGAAAGGGTTCGTTGAAATCCAGCCCTACTTCAGCCAGTCGGAAGCTGTCAACCTGCACGAAGTCAAGCATTTTGTGGTGGACGTGCAGGCCTACCCCCCTCCCAGGATATCCTGGCTCAAGGACAACCTGACTCTGATTGAAAACCTCACAGAGATCACCACCGACATCGAAAAGATTCAGGAAATAAGGTAACCCCACACACACACACACACACACACACACACAACGTGCCTTTTCTTTTTATTGTGCACCCCTGGATAGACAGAGATCTGTGTGTCCTACAACCCAAACCTGGAGTCCATCTGGAAAATCCAGCAATCCGATTTGGGAGAAACTGGAAATCAAGGGTAATATTGCAAAGGGTAATATTGCAATTCGGTAATAGTATGTTGGTAAGTATTTAATGATTACATAAGAAGAAGGGAGAAGTAAAAATCCCTGTCTCCCATTGAAAAGCAGGCTCCCAGATCCAGTGAGGGGTGGAGGAGAGGAAGTAAAATTGGACCCACTTGCACTGAGTACATTCCTTGATGCGCATCATTCATATTGCAGTCAGACTTGTACATTGGTTACAGTTGCAAGGCAATCAGCATATAAACTGACATAATATAAATCATGACTGACTTCCTTGGAGACACATTTGCCCCAGTGAGACCTCCGTAAGAAACAAGGGTGGAGCCTGGTCAAATTGGTTAGGAGAAAAGGTAGAACGAGGAGTTTGGACCCCTGCCCTCAGAGAGTGGTAGATTACTCTCTTAACTGGTGGTGGAGGTTTGGGTAAGTCATGCCTCAGCCTCAGTTTCCTCATCTGTAATGTAGGGTCAGTAGCACTTTATGTCCTTCCAGGCAAGGAATTGGAGCAGGTGCTATTTCAGGTCTCTTGGACTTTGAAGCTCTGATTAGAGTCCAGGAGCAGAGGGTATCCCTCGAAGGACCCAGCTAATCCAGCCCTGTGTCCTCCTCAGAAACCGCCCCACAGAGACCAGAGTCAGCCCTCTCCTTCAGACCACCAGGGAGGAGGAGACAGAACCTCTCTCATCAGTTCACTGCACCTCTGGGTTCACTTTCTCCTTTCTGACCTAAGTTCCACATGTAATTGAGAACGGTGTCTGAGAATGTGAAATTTTATGCTAGACGATGAATTTTATGGTAGACGATGATGGAAAATGAAGTGGAATGCTGATTCTGGAAGGCTTTCTGATGACCCCAAATGCAGGGGCACAGAGAGGTGGGCAGTGCCGGACTTTCCACTGGGCTGTGAGGCCAGGAGGAATGGGGTGTCTCTGGCACAGCCAGCACTTCAAACGCGTGTCCGGGCACTGTCTGCAAGCGAGAGTCCGTAGCAATGACAACTGAGTGGTTTGGGAAAGCTGCCTGTTAGAGTTACGCAGTGTGCCTTCAGCACATACTCTACTAGTTATGGGCCAGAGAGGAACACAGTGGGTGGGGTATCTGGATCCCTGGAGCTCAGAGCTGGTGGATCCACCAGCTTTCTTGGCTGAACAGTATAGAAAATGAAGGACAGAAGATCATTTGGTGATCAGCAGCCAGGTGTGCTCTAGGGAAATCCAGTCCTGGAGCACGTCCAGGATGGTGCCGCCGAGGAGAAACCTGCCCTGCATGCTCTTACACGTGGCCTAGTGCGCAGCATCTTGGGCCAGAAGACTGTAATATACAGGATACTTTTGAGGCTACGAAATGCTTCGACACATATTATTTTATTTAACTACTTCTGTCAATGACTCTGCATTAGGCATACAATTTTTCTATGCTGTACATATGGAAACGAAGACATTTCAATAATGAGAATGTCAGTAATGCCCAGGGCGTGCTCACCACGAGAACGTCAAGAACAGCCAAGTTCTCCTCACCTTAGTTAGTGCTCTTCTCCACTCCCGTGGTTCTTCCATCCTGCGATGTTTTATGAGGAAGGACAAGTGGGCGAATACTGTACTGATGTGCACGCACATGTGTGAGGCAGAGTGTCATTTATAATGCACACATGTAAGACTCTTTGGGGGGAACTTCACTTTAATAAAGTATGAACAAAGGCATTTTTTAAGTTGATTTTTTTTGAATAAGTGATGGAATCCCGTGCTTTAAAGCCATTTAGACATGAAGGTGCCTCATTGTATGAAGCCTCATTCCACTCCTGTCCGCATCTGCCCAGCGCTCCTCCCACCCACAGGGAAACTCTTACTGGGTTTATTAGGTTCCTATGTCATCTTCCAGAGGTTTTTTTTTTTAAGCAAATACCATATCCATATATAGAGAGCTCCCCCCCCGCTTTTTTTTCCATTGGTGTTTTATGGTTTGGCCAAACCACCAAAATGATAGATATTTAGAGGAAGCAACTGTTTTTTAAACAGGGAAAACTCAAATTGGCGGGGCGTGTTTATTCCCATTCAGAGGCAGGCCTTACCAGAGCCCATGGCGCCTGAGGTCACAGGAGCCATTGCTTGTCCCAAAATGTCCGGGCTTCTGCTTAAGAATCAAGTGCCTGCCACTCGGGCCTTCAGTGTGTCCCAAGTGTGTTGGGTCCCGATGATCCCAAGGAGAAAAAAAGATGTTTTTATTTTTTTTTACAAAAATAAAGTTTAAATTGAACGCAGTAACTGCTGAAGTGGTTAGAATTTATTTGGCTGCCTCTTGCAGAAACAGAGTCCTTTTCTTTTAAGGTATCGAAGCAAATTAAAGCTGATCCGTGCTAAGGAAGAAGACAGTGGCCATTACACCATCGTAGTTCAAAATGAAGATGACATGAAGAGCTACACTTTTGAACTTTTAACTCAAGGTATGTTCAGGGCGGTCTGAAGAGAATGCTCTCTCAGTGAGTGAGTGAGTGAATGAGTGTCTCCTGAGGAGAGTCTGGTACTTTCTCCCAGGCCGTGGAGGAAAAAGCAACACTTTTAGGGGAGAAGCAGGAACTGGAGACACCACACATGAGGGATAGCTTTGTTGGACATAAGAATTCACATAATTCTAGGGGGCTCCAGGCTGCTCTGAAACAGTCTGATTGAAAATTTCTGAGCTCTAACAACTTCCTTGCCCCCTACTTCTCAGTCTGGCACTGACAAGTTCAGGGAAGAGTGAAATGATGCTTCTTGGTCCAGATGACCTTAGATTATTCCAGAGAGTTTGGACCTTTTTGCCTGGCTTCCCTGTAGACATGGTATAGTGGCCCTTACCAGAAACCCAAGTCCTTTCACGTTCAGGTTCAGCACGCACTGACTGAGCACTTACCATGTGCCAGGGACCATCTTGGTTGGGCTCATTTGTGCCTCACAGTAAATCTATAGAAACAGTAGCCTATTTCTAAGTTGTTTGATCACAGATTTTAAAGAATCTTTAAAACTTAATAATATCCTGCAGATGCACTCTGGTAAATGTGGCTTCAGATTCCGATTGAGCTGAATCCATTAGTTGAATTGCAAGCTATATTAATTCTAAGAGCCTCTTTGCCTTTCCAGCTAAATAACCACAGGGGCTTTTTGCTTCCCTAACTCCAGATCTAAACCACCACGGGGCACAAATCCCCAAACACTGCAACTGTGAAAATGCTCTTAACCAAGTGGATCTGTGCAAACTGGAGGGTTTACTGTGCACACAGCCTCCTCTCGGGTGGTTCCTTGATTTGTAGGTTCGAATGCCTTGTGGGCAAGTTCTGAACTCATGTTCCTTGTAGTTTCCAGAGTTTGGGGTCAAGAACCATTCACTTTTGATTTCTTGCAGTTCCCTCATCTATTCTGGACCTCGTCGACGACCACCATGGGTCTACGGGGGCGCAGACCGTGAGATGCACAGCTGCAGGGACACCGCTTCCTGATATCGAGTGGATGATTTGCAAGGATATTAAAAAGTATGGAAATCGGATGTTCCGTTTGCATTTGCAGTCAGAATGTTTCTTCCTGGATGCAGAGGACCTCAAATGCATTTTATTTCTTTTGTATTTGAGAGTCTTATTTGGCCCCTAAACTACAAGATAGGGTTCTTTACATGGTCGTTGTGTGTGCATGCACATGTGTGTACACATGTGCCTGTGTGTTCATGAACATGTGAGCAAAAGGTCCATGGCTTTCATCAGATTCTCCAAGGGTCTCTCATTTAAAAAGAAAATGAATTTAAAGAGCTACTCTTACAGGAGGATTTTGCTACCCTGACCCACATTTTCACCTCATAGTTCTTATCTGGTGAAGTTTATCTGGTGGCTGGACTGGCCTGTGAACATCAATGAAAATACTGCCCATGTGACTGCGCACTACCTTGTGTGCCTACCTGCAGTCTGATGGGATTTAACTCACCAGTTCCTCCTACATCCCGTGTTCCTGAACCTTCTCCAGTGGGCACACGAGCAGCCCGTTCACTATTCTGTCCATGGAGACTGGCTGTGTTCAGAAGCCTTGACTGCTTCTCCTACAGGCTGAGATCTAATGCCTTCCTAAGGGCTAAGGGACCAGATTTGGATGTGACTGGAGCTACAGTCTAGGTCTTAAATCTCAACCAGGTGATCGCTCCAACGCTATGACCCTCGGGGCCTCTTTACAGTGAGTTAGAGAGAAGGAAGGACTCCAGGCCTTTTTGAAGGGGTAGGAAATTGGGAGAGTTAAACATTCTTGGAAGTGAAAAAAAAAACTGTCGATTTGCTCCTGGGTTCAGGGTTTAGGATTGGCAGTTATATTTGATTGGACTTATCTCTGCATTATCTTCATAATCAGTTAACTTTTAATTATCCGCATGTAGGTTGTTAAATTTGGGTACATGCAAACAAGTTTTAATGTTCATGTGCACATAAAATAAGAAATCAACTTGTAGCACCCCCAAATGTAGACCAGGTTAGAATGGCCTGCTCTCCTAGATAATTCTCACTGCTACACTCACCTCCTTTACTCCGGACAACTGGCTCTGTATTTGTGTCCTTTTTCTTCCCAGATGTAATAATGAGACTTCATGGACAGTTTTGGCCAGCAACATCTCAAACATCATCACGGAGGTCCACCCCCTGGACAGGAGTGTGGTGGAGGGCCAGGTGACTTTCGCCAAAGTGGAGGAGACCATTGCCGTCCGGTGTCTGGCGAAGAATCTCCTTGGAGTAGAGAACCGAGAGCTGAAGCTGGTGGCTCCCAGTGAGTTGCTTATCAGTGAAGACTGCTCTAAGTCATCAGCCAGGCCCTTTCTCCCCAAGGTGGAACTTTGAATCCCAGTTAGGGTCCTATAGGAACGAAGGTCCCAAGGCAGAAATTCAGCCCTGATTGCTCTTAAAGGGCCTTCTCATGGCATCTGCATGGGAGTCTTTTTTTCAGATTCAGATCCAGAACTGCACCTGGCAGAGGCCCCTTGGCATGTTGCTTGTCCAACTGTATAGCTAGCTACTCAGTCTCTCTAGTCGGAGTGTGGGAATGGAGGAGGAAGAAGGATTTTCTGCCTTTATCCTCCTTATGACAGCTGAGCCAGGTTCAATTCCTTGAGTAAAAATTAATGAAGCTGAAATTAATATAAACAAAATGCAACCTTTCAAAATAAACTGAACCTAAGTTTTTGAGTTTATGGTAGCCCTCAATCTCATTTATCAGTCTTTATGTTCCAATTCACATTCTGTTCAGAAGGTTAATGTTGGAGCATCTTTAGAGAACGTATTGCATTCCGCTGATTGAATTTTGTCCCTTTCTGTTCCAAGGGAAGAGTTGGAATAGTCTCATAGATGCAGATAATTGAGAGATGCTGTTGCCCATCCCTAAAATGAGCCAGGCAGCCCTTGTGCTTCTCCACAACATTCAGGGATTTCAGTTCCAGTCAGTTACATTGCCTTCCCACCCTCCTGTGTGTTCATGCAAATTTCCCATCCTGCCTCTCTCTGTCTCCTCTAGCCCTGCGTTCTGAACTCACGGTGGCAGCCGCAGTCCTGGTGCTGTTGGTGATTGTGATAATCTCACTGATTGTCCTTGTGGTCATTTGGAAACAGGTAGGTATCTTTCTCAAAGAACTAAAAATCTCTGAAGCCATTAAGAACAGGAAGAATGGCAACCAAGTCCAGTGCTTGGCACAGAGAAGGAGCTCAGTAATAATGGGTCGAGTCACTGCGTCCAGCCACTTCGCTGCTGCAGTTAATTGAAGCTTTGGTGCATTCAGACTTTGGTAATTCACCAGTTACCTGACCTGGTCATTTACAGAAACCGAGGTATGAAATTCGCTGGAGGGTCATTGAATCAATCAGCCCCGATGGACATGAATATATTTATGTGGATCCAATGCAGTTGCCTTATGACTCGAGATGGGAGTTTCCCAGAGACGGACTAGTGTTGGGTAAGCTTCTCTGGGGGTTATCTCCCAAGACTCCCTTTCAATTTGTATATAACTTTGCTCCTTTACAGGCCCATAGAGGAAGGAGGGATCTGAGCTTGTGCTTAATAACAGCGAGGCAATAGAAATTGGCTTTCAGATATATATTTTTTTGGTCTTGAAAATGAGTTAATTGGATAACCACAGTCATTTCTTTAAAATCTCATTTTATATAAAATTATGGTGAAAAAATTTTATAAAAGAAGGAAATATGAGACTTGCCAAAGATATCCATCAAAATGGCTTTGCTTTAGAAATGACACAAATTGAAAATGAGATGAATATCTGTGACTAAAAAGTAACAGATGAGAAATGAATGAGGACAACCACAAAATGGATTTTGATCCAATACATTCTGAGGTGTATTAGATACTTCTTTAGAATATACATTGAATATTTAGAATATAGACTATAAAACTATAGATATATGTTTAAGCAAAACATGTAAAAATAATCAAGCCAGTTTATCACAGTCCCTTCAAATATTTTAATCTTGGACTGAGACCAAATGTATGAAGCTTTAGTCCAGAGGATTTTTCTAAAAAAAAAGCAAACCCATCACATTCTGAATGAGTGAAAACAGGACAAAGAAATGAAAGTTAGACCTTGAGATGTGTCACCGAGAATATTCTAACGATATGTACTCTGGAGGATGCCAAAGGCAGCGTTTAATAGTCTACTGTAATTCCAAAACACAGCAAGGTTAAGTTTTCTTAGTATTACTTAACCTGAAGTCAAACAAGACACTTTGGCTACTCCCAATTCAAATATTTATACCTGGGCACTAAGCTTATTATTATTTTTTAAAATTTCCCCTTGTTTTACAAAAAGGAACAAGGAGCTGATGAAAGTTAAGCAGTAATAAAATGAGGGAAAAATGCAAAATCCCCCATAAGCCAAGAGGCACTCCCGTGTCCCTCTGCTCCTGGGCACTGCCAGGGTGCAGGGGGGCAGTGGCTTCCAAGTTTGCTGGCTGTTGGTGTCCTTAGGAGCTGAGGATTTCCTGGTGTGGCTCTAGGTGCTGGGACCCACCCCTCTGGAGTCTCCCTTTTAGACTCAGGTCTTTAAGAATGGGGATGACAGTTGCATTTCGTTTTGTTTCTCCCAAACACGCAGCAAAGTGTTGGGCTCCCGGGGCAGGTTTACCGTGCAATTCTGGTCCAACTGACAGACAAGGGGGCCAGCCTGACGTTTACTTCACTACTCATTGGAGTCAGGCACATCTTGAATACTGAAGTGCTTGCAGTGGATAAAGACTTATGGATGCAAAAGAAGCCACTGTTTGTATATGGAAAACAGAAGGGCAGAGAACCAGGGGGCTTGGGCGAGAGCCACGGAAGGCAAGTGCACTCGAGCTTAGGGTCTGGCCCAGCACATGAGCTGGTAGACAGTGTGCTCCCACCAGGGAGGGCTGCACCCTCCTTTCTCCTGCCTGTGTTTTCCTTTTCCTGGCAAATGTTACTTGACAAAAGCAATTATACTAATTTCCTTCCCTGTGGGCTCAATTCTGGCTTTGACACGATGACTTGGAGGAATCATTATGCTTCCTCTGTGGAGGAAAAACACCACCCAGCTGTGCACCCACAAGCACAGGCTGTGGTAAATAAAGCTGATGAGCCCTGGCTGGCGTGGCTCAGTGGGCGGGGTGTCCTCCTGCAAAGCGAAGGGTCACCAGTTTAATTCCGGTCAGGGCACATGCCTGGGTTGCGGGTCAGTCGGGGGCCTGTGAGAGGCAACTGGCCCATTGTTTCTCTGGCACATGGATGTTTCTTTCCTCCTCTTTCCCCCTCCCTTCCCCTCTGTCTAAAAATAAATTTTAAAAAAAGCTGGTGAGACACCTGACGCCTGTGTGTGCTGTGTTCTGGCTGCCCACAGGCCGTATACTGGGATCTGGTGCATTTGGGAAAGTGGTGGAAGGCACTGCGTATGGATTAAGCCGGTCCCAACCTGTCATGAAAGTAGCAGTGAAGATGCTTAAACGTAAGTGTTCCTTCCTGGGGATTTTTTTTGAACATGGAGATATTAAATGAATTGCTCAAACTCACAAAGCCAGTAAATGCCAAATATAGGGAAGCTCTTGGTTCTTCTGACTCTATTTGGACTCCTGTCAGTTAGGTTTATTTAGATTGTTTTCATTGCCCCTATGTTGGAAAATCAGGAGTTGTTATTTTTAATGACTTCTACTCCAAAGGCTCGGGATCAGTTACTAGAGTCTCAACCAGAGTCACTGTCTCTCTCTTTTAGACTCTTAGTAAATAAAAGGATATCCAGTCATAAGATGAGCCATGTTTTTGGCTTTTTCAGGGCAGTACGTTGCTCCGAACTGATGTAATTTATTTCTTCAACAGCCACGGCCAGATCCAGTGAAAAACAAGCTCTCATGTCTGAACTGAAGATAATGACCCACCTGGGCCCACATTTGAATATTGTGAACTTGCTGGGAGCCTGCACCAAGTCAGGTAGGCCTACGGACTGGGAGGGAGTTCATAGAACCCCAGTGGTTGCACAAACTGTCAAACCCAGCTTTTTAAATCCCCACTTTGTACCTCCAAACATGCCAGCGAATAAATCCCTTGAATGGAGTCGACTGGATTCCACTGAATTGAGGAGAGCTCATTGTTTTTGAGCAACATCTCTTGTCAGTGCAAGCACAGCAATTCATGGCTTATCTGTTCACTTTCAAAACCATCTCCTAACCAATTGTGGTCCCCACAGGCCCCATTTACATCATTACTGAGTACTGCTTCTATGGGGATTTGGTCAACTATTTGCATAAGAACAGGGACAGCTTCCTGAGCCACCACCCAGAGAAGCCAAAGAAAGAGCTGGACATCTTTGGATTGAACCCCACTGATGAAAGCACTCGGAGGTGGGTTCAGAGAGACGTTGCTGTGAATCATTGTTTTACAAGTCTCACCGTGGAGAGAACCCATGTCCCGGTAGAATCCATGTCTGCAGATTCTGTGCCTGGAGGCAGCAAGACTCAGTCCAACTACCCTGCCCCGTCATCCCATGACACAGTGCTGATGAGTACATGGTGTCTGCCCGTGTTTGAGACCAGGCCGTTGTAGATGGAGCCTTGCTGATAGGTTTGAATGAAAGCCAGATCTGGAATTGTTCTGGGAGCCGTTTTCCTGTGTATATGTGGCCCACTTAACACCTATCACAAATGCAGCACTGGCCAGGGATGCCTCAGTACTTATGTTTAGAGAGAAACTGCCTGAGGGTCCTTGAGATACTGGTGCTTGCTGAACCTGGGTCTGTAAATCAAACCAATGATAGTAATCCCCAATGCAGAAATCCACAAATGGCTGTGAAGATCTCTGTAGGTCTGAAGTTGTGTAACATCAGAAAGTACAATGAGTTCACTTCATATTAAGTTACTCTATGAACACCAGATTGGTGCTAAATTTATTGAGCAGCAGGAATTGTCTGCCAAGCCGCATGGTCACATGGCATAGGTTTGTGGCTTGTGAGCTGAAAAGCAGTCCAGGCACACCTGAGTTGAGATAATTTGTGCATTTGTATGATTATTGATTAAGGCTCACCTCCCCAAATAGACCACCCTGGGGAGAGGCTGCAGATGGGTTTTGCTTCTACTCAACCCTGCCACCCCCGTGCCCACCGTGCTATCTTGCAGACTGTAGGTACTTGGTCATCATTCACTGAATGTTGCATGATCACTCTAAGGGGCACCTGGATAAGGTTTCTTTTTCTGTTTTTACAGTTATGTTGTTTTATCTTTTGAAAACAACGGTGACTACATGGACATGAAGCAAGCCGACACCACCCAGTATGTCCCCATGCTGGAAAGGAAAGAGGTTTCTAAGTATTCGGACATCCAGAGATCGCTGTATGACCGCCCAGCCTCGTATAAGAAGAAGTCTATGTTAGGTAAAAGTGTGTACGCTGACTCTTTGGGTGTTGTGCTCTCCCAGAGGTTTACTGAAATACTCAGAATCCTCAGAAGAAGGTGAGCACACCTGGTAAATAGAACTGCCAGGGCTCACAGTCCCTATACAACCTGCCAGTGACCTTGAGAAGAAGAAAAACAATAAAGACAGACCCGATGTAATGAATTTTTCAGACTTTAAATACAATTGTTTTAAAGAATTGTTTATTCTGACATAATGATCTTTTTGTAACATGTCTTTTTTTTTTCCTAAGGGAAGGTAGTATTGATGGTTTTTTTCCCCAATGCCCTAACTTGGCCAAATTAAAAGTCAGCAGTCTTACATTGTAAAATTTAATTATGTAAACCTCTGATATCTTTGAGTTCAATGGCCCTTGCTTTTAGCTTTTACTAATACACAATTTGTGATAGAAAGTGGACCATTTGAAGTTATTTTTTCTGACGAGGGTGTTGTTTGAAGGGAGACCTGTCTGTTTCAAAGCAGATGGGCATGTGGCAGGATTGAGTTGATTTATAAACTCTAGGGAGCTCAGCCGAGGCCCGTACCAGATGGACCACCCCACATCTGCTGGGGGGTGGTCTCTCCACGGTCCTAGTCTGATAGCAGGCTTGCAGGGCAGAGGAGGCTACTAGATGGGACCAATGTCAGCTGTCTTGTGATCTTGCATTATTGGACCTGAGCTCCCCACATTGGTCAATGACAAAAAAATTTAGCTGCTATGGGAATTGCTTTGAAAATTACTAATGTGCTCTGAATGCTTTCAGGGTTCTTAAGTGGAAGGTACAATCTCTTACAAAAAGAATGTGTATCCCTGGCCAGAGGGCCCAGTTGTTTGGATGTCATACCATATACAAAACAGTTGTGGGTTCAGTCCCTGGTCAGGGCGTGTTACCTAGGTTGCAGGTTTGATCCCTGGTTGGGACGCATATGGGAGGCAATTGATGGATGTTTCTCACATCCATGTTTCTCTCTCCCCTTCCCTCGCTCTCTCCCTCTCTGCCTCCCTTCCTTTCTCTCTAAAATGAATTAAAAAAAACAACAACATATCCTCGGGTGAGGGTTAAAAAAAAAAGAATGTGCTCATTTTGCAAAGCTCACTCAGTACACATTAATATTTTCCATTGCTGCAGTTCCAAGTTCCATTCATTCCCCATTGCCAAATGGGTAAACTTCCAAGCCCTTTTTAAAGATGAGCCAGTGAGGGCTGTCAGAATGAGTGCTTCCTCTCCACTCCTGTATTGTTAAAAATAGTTTACATTGCTTCCCAGGCTGGACCTGGCTCCAGATGTCAGGGGAACCTGATTCATGCTCGGCCCAGGCCCTGCTGGCAGGCAGACGGCCGCTTCCTGGCCTGCCTCTAGCTGGCTGGAAAAACGTGAATGGCTGCAGCTACTCTTCACTTGCCTGAAAATTTTCAAAAAGAACTGAGAACTGTTGGCCTAGATTGCCTCCTTCCTCGAAAACCCTGGGACCCTTCCAGCTGGGACGGACCGGGAAAATAGACAAGTTATAAAGGGAACTAAACGCAGAGTCGTTGGCACCGATCTTTAAGCTTGCTACCTCTGCTCTGACTGGTGGTTGATTTCATTCACCAGATGAGCCAAGTACTATGAAGGTGGCTTTAAAAAGAAAAAAAAAGAAGCAGCAATTCCTAGAAGATGCTTTTTCAAAAGGCCCTCATGTATATTCATCATGGAAGATTTTAGTTTTTATGTGTTTTAATGGTGCCTGAGCTGATGTGCTAAGGTTAAAAAAAGAAATTTTGGAGGCAAACCACAAAACATGTGTGAGAATCTATTAGGTATATATATATCTATCATAGATATATATACCAGATACATGTTTCTTTTAAAAAATTATTTATCTTTAGAGAGAGGGAAAGGGAGGGAGACAGGGAGAGAAACATCAGTGTGTGGTTGCTTCTTGAGCACCCCCACTGGGAACCTGGCCTGCGACCCAGGCACGTGCCCTGACTGAGAATCCAGCCAGTGACCCTTTGGTTCTCAGGCCAGGGTTCCACTGAGCCACATGTTTATAACAGCCAGGGCCAGATGTTTACTTCTATCTGAGAAGCTCGTTACTTAAATTCCAAGGCATTTTGTTTAGAGTTTGTAGTTTAGATGCCCACCTATGAGGTGTGGAAACTCTATAATAAGAAAATCACTTTATGGGACTCTGACTATTTGTGGCACAGTTGGTTGGGTGTCATCCCACAAAACAAAAGGTTACTGGTTCGATTCCCAGTCAGGGCACATACCTGAGTTGCAGGCTGGGTCCCCAGTCCAAGTGTGTGTAAGAGGCACCTGTCGATGTTTCTCTCTCACATCGATATTTCTCTTTCTCCCTCCCTTCCCCGCTCTAAAAAATAAAATGAAAATGAAAAAAATAATTTGATGGGGATGTAAAGTACAGCACAGGACATATAGTCAATAATACAATAGCCATATATGGAGTCAGTTGGGTACTGGAAATATCGGGGAGAACACTTTGTAAAGTATATGATTGTCTAAGGGTGTGCAACCTTTTCACGTCTCTGGGCCACACTGGAAGGAGAGGCTGTCTGGGGCCACACATAAAATACATTGTGACGTGTAACCATGAAAAAATCTCATAATGTTTTAAGCAAGTTTACGATTTTGCGTTGGGCTGCATCGAGCCCCTGGGCCGCAGGCTGGACACCCCTGGATGCTGTGCATCTGAAACGCATACAAAATAGTATTGGACTGGGTATAAACTGTAATTGAAGAAATTTTAAGAAATAGAAAAATTAAAGAAGTCCCTTTAGATGTTCTTCGGACAAGCACATCTGCCGCGCAGCGCCCCCTGCTGAGGCCTGCTGCCCTGTGACAGCACCTGACACTCTTCCTGGCTTTTCTGCAGAGTCAGAAGTCAAAAACCTCCTTTCGGATGACGGCTCAGAAGGCCTTACTTTGTTGGATTTGTTGAGCTTCACCTACCAAGTTGCCCGAGGAATGGAGTTTTTGGCTTCAAAAAATGTAAGTGCGGCCATGGAACAGACGTTTTTAGACTCAGGCCGCAGGTCTGAGTGGGGTGAGCGTGGAAAGTAGCTCTTGGAGAGGCCTGGAGCAATGGCGGCCCCTCTCCTCCTCTTCCCCGAGCAGAGTGGGGAGTCCGACATCATCGGTGTCCACTCCTCCCCAGAACCTTTTTGCTCTTGGGAGAAGTTGGAATGAGAACCTGGGAAGTGAGCTCTTCCCGCCAGGTGAGCCCCTCCGAGGTGTGCGAGGCAGCTCCACGTACCCCCATGGCGTGGCCAGCCTCGCAGGGGTGATGCCGTCGAGCGGTGGCCAGATCGACACTGACGCCATTTCTTCTCTTTCCTCGCAGTGTGTCCACCGGGACCTGGCCGCTCGCAACGTCCTCCTGGCACAAGGGAAGATTGTAAAGATCTGTGACTTTGGCCTAGCCAGGGACATCATGCATGATTCGAACTACGTATCGAAAGGCAGCGTAAGTGCTCCCCCCTCTCCCCCATGCTTACCCTCCCTCACTCAAACCTCTGAAATCAGGTGTTGTTTCCAGCCATTGGGATGCCTGTCATCTCAGCATGGAGTCCACAAGACCCATGGATGGGTGGGCTCCCGGGGTCGGTGTGGAAAGCACAGGCTCTGCAGCAGACTGCCCAGCTGCGAGCCCGAGCTCCAGGACTTACTAGCGTGGCAGTTGAGGCAAGTTACTTGACCACTCTGTACCTCGATTTCCCTATCTGTAGCAGGGAAGCGACAATGATAACCTACCTCCTGAGTTGCTGTGAGGGACTGAATCAGTGAATCCATGTGAAATGCTTAGGACAGTGCTTGGCACAGACAGCACCCAGTCAGCATCAGCTATTAATGTAAATTGTGCACAAGGCTGTATGTGCATGCATTTGCAAGGACAGCATCTGTAACTTCTAGCAAATTTTCAAATGGCATCTATACCCCTAAAATGGGAAAACCATTTGAACTCATATATCTTAGAAGCCTAATTTTCTTAAAGATAGTCATTCTATCTTACACTTCAACTTTTCCATCCACCCCTGTGACATCTAAGCAGATGGAGTAGCTGGGGATATGCCTGCCACCTGTAGGCACAAATCCAGCACCACGCAGACCCTGAGGTGGCCCACGGGGCTGCTGCAGCAGGACACTGGGCTATGCCCATGCTCTCTGTGTTTCATGGGCTCTGTGGCCATGACCTGTAGCTTTGGGCCTCTTGGGAAAAAGTGGACTTTGGTGGAGTCCAGGTCTGTCCAAACAGGTTATGGATGTCTATTATCTGCCCAGCGGTTTTAGAAGGTTGGAGGATGCCAATGTGGCTGTTTGGTGTGTCTGCCCAGGTTAGTGTTTCCACAGAAGGTTGGACAACCTCACGAAAGGAGGCTGTGAAGTGATCCTTCTGTCACACTCTTGACAGCATTTCTTCAGTTCAAAAATGTAATTGGCTCTCAGATCCCTGGATCTGCTCTTAATTTTGTTCCTAGGAGCGTTTTACACTAGGGCACAAGTCCAGTCAGGACTCAACACTTTGGGGTAAAAATTCAAGATTATATACTTTTGGATGTTATTCCTTGGAAGAACATCAGAGGGAACACTGACCATCCATCATTCATCTGATATTTATTGAGCGCCTGCTGGGTGAACAGCAGTGAACAGCTCACAGAAGACACTCACGTGGCCCAATGTTATTAGTGTGCATTATTCTCAGCCTGGTGGGAAGAGGACCTCTTCCTATTTCTGCTGCTGTGGATCATCAGTGCGGCACCACTGGTCTAACTTCCATCCTTCTTCCCCGTAGACCTTCCTCCCCGTGAAGTGGATGGCTCCTGAGAGCATCTTTGACAACCTCTACACCACACTGAGCGACGTCTGGTCTTACGGCATCCTGCTCTGGGAGATCTTTTCCCTTGGTGCGTACCTGACTGCTTGCTCATTTGCGTGGTTCTGGAATAACATTGGAAGGGAAACACTGTAGTTTCGACGCTCTAGGAGGTCATCACAGTTGAGATACCTGGTGTGAGTCAAGTGCACTGTGGCCAGTTTTTAGCACACTTTGAGCCTGTGTGATGTCTGGTGTGTGCCTGTGCAGAATGAGGCGGGGGATCTTGGGGAGCTGTGCCCTCCCCCCTGGCCTTTGCCCTTCCTCTTCTTTGGGCCAAACCAGAGTGACTTTCTCCCAGTGGGAGTGCTCCTGACGACACCCACTCACCAGCTGCTTTTTCACCTCAGACTTTGGGTTAAGTGGGCTCACCAGTGGAGATGGTGGTAGATGCTCAGGTGAAAGGTAGTATGGCAAGGAAAAGGGTGTGGGTCCCCTTCTTGGTGATCATTCTGGAGGAGCGACACCTCCTAGTCATTCATTCATTCATTCATTCATTCATTCATTCATTCATTCATTCATTCAGTGAGTCAGTCACCAGCTGCTGAATAACACAGGGGCCCCCTGCTCCCTGGTGAGGGCTAATTCATAAGCCTGACTGCTGGACGGTTGATCCCGGGAGATGAGACTCACACACTTCGTGATAAACTGTTTGGTCCTGATTCAATATCCTGATGAAAGTCCAGACAAAGGGAAAAGGAGCCCTAAAGTGGATGTGGAAGGCTTTAGCGAGGAAACTAAGCTGGCCCTGGCCTTGGCCATGTGAAGTGTCTCATGAATTTACTCTGATACGGCAGCGAAGGGAGTCTTCTCGCTGCCTGGCGTCCTTGTTCTCAGTTCTCCCTCCTTGGCCGTCACTGTGGATCATCCCAGTGCATGTAGTTCATGAAAAGCAGAGAATTATTTCAATATTTCAAGCCCCAACTCTGACTTTTGCTTTAATTTCAGGTGAAAATGACTTTTTGCGACCTCAGTGATTCAGAATTTCTTTTGGTTTTCTGTTTTGCTTTGTATGTGTAGCTCCAGTTGTCAGAAACACTGAAAAGTACTTTTGAGCTTTTTCTAGAGATACAGAATTTTTGCCCAGGGGGTTCGGACTTGACCAACCTAGAAGTCCTGCTAAAATGGAAGGTTTGGGTGGGGAGACAACACTTCTTCCTTCCCTTGGAAGAACTAGCACTCCACAGTGGGGATGCCCACATGTTTTCTAAATGTGCTGGATCACCCCAAGTGTTTAAAAAACGTACCAGGCACTTGTTAATCCTGGTTGCTTTCTTCTCTGGCTTTCAGGGGGCACACCCTACCCTGGCATGATGGTGGATTCTACTTTCTACAATAAGATCAAGAGTGGATACCGGATGGCCAAGCCTGACCACGCCACCAGTGAAATGTGAGCCTCTCCCCATCCTGTGGGCCCTGTGTTCCAGCCCAGTGGGTCTGTGGGGCAGGTGGGGGCAGTAGGGACGGTGGGGTGGTACCGTCCACTCCTCCCAAGGCTCACTCTGAGTTCTGTGCTTCTCCAGCTATGAGATCATGGTCAAGTGCTGGAACAGTGAGCCTGAGAAGAGACCCTCCTTTTACCACCTGAGAGAGATTGTGGAGAACCTGCTGCCTGGACAGTATAAAAAGGTTTGTCTGTGGGACGACATGGATGGACCCAGAGTGTATTATTTTAAATGAAATAAGTAAGGCAGAGAAAGACAAATACCATATGATTTCACTTATAGGTGGAGTCTAAAATAAACAAAACAGAAGCAAACTCATAGATACAGAGAACCTTTTGATATTTGCTGGATGGGAGAAGGTTTGGGGGGCTGGGGACCAAAGGAAAGGGATTAAGATGTGCAAATTGACAGATATAAAAACAGTCACAGGGGTGTAAGGTACAGCATAGGGAATGTAATTGATAATATTGTAATAACTATGTATGGTGTCAGATGGGTACTAGATTCATCAGATGATCACTTTATAAATTATATAAATGTCTAATCAGTATGTTGTACACCTGAAACTAACATGTCAAGCACATGCCATTATGTGTACACATGCAGACACAGACACACAGCCACACATGCATCACACACATGCAATACTCATACATGTATGACATATACTTTCATACATACATAGTGTATGTCAGACATACACTATGTCATAGTGTATGTCAGAGTGTATGTCAACTGTAATTAAAAAGTATTTTAAAAACGGAAGGTTTGTCTGGGCCTCTTAAGACGAGTGGAAAGGAATGCACAAAGGGAGGAGACGCTAGCTGGCAGCTATGCAAGCAAGCAGCACCGTTCAACACTGTTTTAAAGGAACATTTTCAAACGAGGGAAAAGATGGTGTGACCCAGCGGCCGGGGTTTTATGGAGGCTCCCCAGGGCCCTGGTGGCAGTGGCAAATGAAAACCCTCTTCCCGAAGGGCTCCTCTTTCATGTTCAGGGTGCAACACCTGTAAGCACTTTATTCTCCAGATGTTTGTGTATCTGAAGCTACTGTGTGGTTAGAAGTCTCAGGGCATCCACAGCCATTACACTGTAAATTTGAATGCACTTGAACCATGCAGAATTGGCTTTTGCCAGCCGGCTGGAAGGAGCAACCTCAGCTGTTATCTGTGGCTCCAGCTGGTTTTTTGTGGAATAGGAAACATTGTTCAAAGGAACAAATGTAATTTCATGGAACCAAGCAGGATGTGTTAACGAATGAAAAAACTTTCTGCTGAGAAGGAAACCCAGACACACTTGTATAATAAATTCAATTTCTTAGATTCAAGTTAGAGTCACCCTGTAGACCTTGCATACTTGTTGCTTCTCTTCCTTCTTCTTGAGGAGGATCAGTGCTGAACTGGAAATGAGAAACTTTTGTCTATTCAACTATCTCGCTGCCCATGACAAGTGCCCTAAGCGAGGCAGCAGGGAAGCAGAAGGAGATTCACTGCAGGTCTGTCAAAGACACCCTGGTTGGCGAATGTGTTTTCATGGAAAGAGACTGGAATTAGTGTTGAGAGTAGTCTCTTTAGATCAAAAGTTGTCAGTTATATTTCTTCAATGTTCTGTAATCAGGCAGGCTCAGGTGTGGCACTCCTTACGGAAGTCCTTGTCACCTCTTACCAGGACCCATTCAAGCCCGGGAGAGACTGTTCGAGGAGGCCAGATGAGTCCATGCTAGTCCCCAGGCAGGGGTGTTTGTGGGGAGGGACACAGGCAGAGCTACGGACTCAGGGAAGCAGCTTGTAAGGCCTGCCAGCGCAAGATTTCTGCCATTGGTGGTCTTTTTTTCCCCCTTTAAAAGTTTTTTTCAACTCTAGTTGACAATTTGTATATGATACGTATATGTATAAAATGAATATGACTTTCTATTAGTTTCGGGTGTACTGCATAGTGGTTAGACATTTATATAATTTATGAGATGATTCCACCCATAAGTGTAGTTCCCACAACACCATACCTCGTTATTTATTATAATATTACTATTTTCCCCCTGCTGTACTTACATCCCCATGCTGATTTGGTGACTACCAATTTGTACTTCTCTAGCCCCTTACTTTTTTCACCCCCAAACCCCCTCTACTCAGGCAACCATCAGTTTGTTCTCTGTATCTGTGAGTCTGTTCTGTTTGTTCATTTACAATATTTTGTTCTTTAGATTTCACATATTCAGGGATGTCCAACCTGTGGCCACATGTGGCTCCGGATGGCTGTGAATGTGCCGAACACAAAATTGTAAATTTACTTAAAACACTATCAGATTTTTTTGGTGATTGTGTGTTGTGGTGGATTTAACTTATTGCCCAAGACAACTCTTCTCCCAATGTGGCCCAGAGATGCCCAAAGGTTGGACACCCCTGAATCATATGGTATTTATCTGTCTGACTTATTTTACTGAGCACAGTACCTCTAGGTTCATTCACATTGCCACAAATGGAAAGATGTCTTCTTTTTATTATGGCCATGCAATATCACATTGTATATATGAACCACATGTTTATCCAGTTGTCTATTGATGGGCACTTAGGTTGCTTCCATATTTGGGCTATTGAAAATAATGCTGGTTCTGTGTGCACTTGAAAATGATGTATGTATATTCTGTTGCTTTGCACTAAAAATATCAATTAAATCCATCTGGTCTAATGTGTTATTTAAGGCCACTATTTACTTGATTTTCTGTCTGGAAGATCTATCCATTGATGGCAATAGCGTGTTAAAGTCCGAAACTGTAATTTCTTCCTTATGTCCATCAATATTTGCTTTATATATTTACTTACTCCTATATTAAGTGTATAAATGTTTACAAAGTTTATATCCTCTTGTTTAATTGATCTTTATATTATTGATACCCTTCTTTGTCTCTTACTATAACTTTTGTTTTAAAATCTGTTTTGTCTGATATCAGTACTGCTACCCCAGCATTTTTTTGTTTGTTTGTTTTGGTTTCCATTTGCATGAAATCTGGATTTCCATCCCTTTACTTTTAGTTTGTGTGTATTTTGATCTGAAGTGGGCCTCTTATAGATAGCATATGTATCTATCTTGTTATCTTTTACAAACTTATATTTTATTGATTATGCTATTACAGTTGTCCTGATTTACCCCCCATGGTCCCCCACCACCTAGCACCCCCCACTCCCTCAGGCGATCCCCCCACCAGTGTTCATGTCCATGGGTCATGTGTGTAAGTTCTTCAGCTACTCCATTTTTTATAGTGTACTTTACATCCCCATGGCTTTTCTGTAAGTACCTTTTTGTGCTTCTGAATCTCCTCACCTCTTTACCCATTTTCCAACTCCTTACTCCCATCTGGCAACCATTAAAACACTCTCCACATCCATGATTCTGTCTCTGTCCTTGTTGTTTGCTTAATTTGTTTTTTAGATTCAATTGTTGATAGATATGTATTTTTTGTCATTTTATTGTTGACAGTTTTGATCTTTTTAAAAAATAAATCCCTTTAATATTTCATATAATAATGGTTCGGTGATGATGAACTCCTTCAGTTTTTTCTTGTCTGGGAAGCTCTTTATCTGCCCTTTGATTCTAAATGATAACTTTGCTGGGTAGAGCAATCTTGGCTGTAGGTCCCTGCTTTTCATGACTGAATATTTCTTGCCAATCTCTTCTAGCCTGCAAAGTTTATTTAGAGAAATCAGCTGACAGACTTATGGGAACTCCCCCATGGGTAACTAACTTCTTTTCTCTTGTTGCTTTTTTAAGATTCTCTCATTAACTTTCGGCATTTTAATTATGATGTATCTTGGCGTGGGCCTCTTTGTATCCATCTTGTTTGGGACTCTCTGTGCTTCCTGGACCTGAATATTTATTTCCTTCATTAAATTAGGGAAGTTTTCTTTCATTAATTTTTCAAGTAGATTTCCAATTTCTTGCTCTTTCATGTCTTCTTCTAACATCCCTATGATGTGAATGTTGGAATGCTTGAAGTTGTGCCAGAGGTTGCTTACGTGATCCTTGTTTTTTTTTTTGTATTCTTTTTCTTCTTCTTGTTCTGATTGGTTGTTTTTGCTTCCTTATGTTCCAAATCATTGATTTGATTCTTGGCTTCCTCCACTCTCTTGTTTCCTTGTAAATTGTTCTTTATTTCAATTAGTGAATACTTTATTTCTGACTGGATCTTTTTTATGCTGCTGAGGTCCTTACTATGTTCCTTGAACATCCTTATAACCCTTGTTTTGAACTCTGCATCTGATAGATTGCTTAGCTCCATTTTGTTTGTGCTCTTTCTGGAGTTTTGATCTGTTCTTTCATTTGGGCCATGTTTTTCGGTCTCCTCATTTTGGCAGCCTCCCTGTATTTTTTTCTGTGTATTAGGTAGAGCTGCTCTGGCTCCCTGTCTTGGTAGGGTGGCCTAATGTAGTAGGTTTCCTGTGGAGTCCAGTGGCACAGCCTCCCCTATTACCCAAGCTGGGTACTCAGGGTGTGCCATTTGTGTGGACTAAGTACACCCTCCTCTTGTATTGAGCCTTGGTTGCTACTGGCAGATCAGTGGGAGGGATTTACCCAGGCCAGTCAGCTACAAGGACTGTCTGTGACCACTGACTACCAACTTCTGCCCTCTGTGGAAGATCAGCTATGCATGGGCAGGGTGGTAGTGCTCCGACATGGTCTGTAGCTGTTCACTGGGCCCTGGGGTTTCCCAGGTGGTGCAGGCCAAGGTCGGCTTCCACCTTTGTTTTGCCTAGGGCCATACTGTCTGAGCTATTAAGCAACCTGAGATTGCTGCTACTTGTGCTGAGCTTTGAGATTTCAGGTGAAGCCAAGCTGTGAATCTAGGCTGGCTGCTGCTAGTTCTGGGCCTGGGGGCTCACTGAGGCCAGCTGTTGCTTGTTTGAGAGTCATTCATATGGAAAAGCATCATGGCTTGGCCTGTAAGTTGGTTGAGGTGGGGTCTCTGGGAATCTCCAAGGCAGGCCAAACAGTGTTAGCCAGGTTGATGGAGTCTCAGATATGGCAGCAGCTTGTCGGCTCTCTGGGGGGAGGATTTAGGAAAGGGACAATAGCTCCTGTTCACCTTGATGCCAGACACTTCATTTTTTCCCTGTATGGCCCTGGTGCCCTTCAACCTGCCACCCCCATGCTGGAACTCAGGGAGTCTGAGTAGGTGAGCCCATGTATGGGTTCTTTAAGAGAAACTGTTTGGGGCTCCAGAAATTTCTTCCACCAACTCAATCCTCACTGGTTTTTGCAGTCAGAAGTTGTGGGGACTTATCTTCCTGGCACTGAAACCCTGGGCTGGGGGCCCTGGTATGAAGCTGGGACTCCTCACTCCCCCGATATCTCCCTGAATATTTATCTTCCACAGGTGGGTCAGGGACCAGCACATTCCACATCTGCGTCCTTCCTATCAGTCTGGACGGATGTGGTTTCTTTAATTCTGTAGTTGTCAGACTTCCATTCATCTCAATCTCCAATGGTTCTCAGTGATGGTTGTTCTATATTTTAGTTGTAAATTTGATGTGGTAGTGGGAATGGGCAAGCCCTGTCTGCCCACACTGCCATCTTGACCAGAAGTCCCTGTATCTGTTTTCTTTTTAAATTGAACTTTTGCTATTAAAAATTACTTTATTTATTTTGAGAGAGAGGGGAAGGGAAGGAGAAAGAAAGGGAGAGAAACATCAACAAGTGGTTGCCTCCAGCACACCCCATACTGCGGGCCTGGCCTGCAACCCAGGCATGGGCCCTGACTGGGAATCGAACCGGTAATGCTTTGGTTTGTAGGCTAGCACTCAATCCACTGAGCCACACCAGCCAGTCAGGTGGTGTCTTGTTTTTTTAATCTATTCAGTTACCCTATATCTTTTGATTGGAGCATTTAGTTTATTTACATTTAAATGGTTATTGATAGGTACATAGTTACTGCCATTTTATTCATCATATTTATGTTCTTTTTTTTCTCCTTAAAAACATTTCTTGTAATACTGGTTTGGTGGTGGTGAGCTTTTAATTTTTTCTTGTCTGAGAATTTCTTCATCTGTCCTTCAGTTTCAAATGATAGCCTTTCTAGGTAGAGCATCCTTGGTTGTAGGTCCTTGCTTTTCATCACTTTAAATATTCTGTGCCAATCCCTTCTGGCTGGCAAAGTTTTTGTGGAGAAACAAGCAGACAGTCTTATAACTGTTGTCCTCTTGCTGCTTTTAAGATTCTTTCTGTCTTTAACCTTAACACTTTTAATTACATGTCAGGGGGCGCCTCTGCAGCTGAGATGTATCTTCTGATTTTTAACTACCACACGTGGGAATGGGGGCAGCCTGTTTTGCATCTCTGCCCCTCCTACGTGGCTGCTTCCTTATGTCCTTAGTCATAGGACTTCTGTTTCGTCCCAGATGATTCTCCAGGTTAATAATTAGTTGTAATGTTGATGTGGTCATTGGAAGTGGTAACCCTTTCTTCATGTGCCACATCTCTGGGGACAGTTGACACCTGACTCCTTCAGTTGTATAAATCCCACATCTGTGAGATAATTTGAAAACAGTTAAAAAGTGTGCATGTGTATATATATATATATATGTGTGTGTGTGTATATATATGCAGTTGATCAATAATACCTGATTAACTATGGGAACTGAATGTCTGCAGAGTTATGAAAAGATTCACCTGGATTTCCTGAAGAGCGACCATCCGGCTGTGGCACGCATGCGAGTGGATGCTGACAATGCCTACATTGGTGTCACCTACAAAAACGAGGAAGACAAGCTGAAGGACTGGGAAGGTGGCCTGGACGAGCAGAGGCTGAGTGCTGACAGCGGCTACATCATCCCTCTGCCTGACATCGATCCTGTTCCTGAGGAGGAAGACCTGGGCAAGAGGAACAGACACAGGTAGGTGTGGCGTGTCCTCAGTTTCCAGCGGAGCTCCCCTGTCCCCGCCCCAGCACTCCTGACACAGAGAGAGGAGCCATTGCCCGGTGATCAGGCTCTGGTGGTGAATCTGTTTTAGGGGAGCAAAAGGTAGAATCCCCAAGGGGTCTGTTTAGTTTTGAAAATGCTTCCCAGGTGAACTTAATATGCGCCCCCTGGGGCTGGGGGAGGTGTAGGGGAGGGAAGGATGTGCTTCCCTGGTGGAGAATCTTTGACCTAAGTTCTCAGGTAATTTGATCAAACTGACATAGCAACTGAGATTATTGAGATACTATAAGCCTCTTAGGCTGTTTTCTTTTCTTATCCAGTCATCTTGAAAGGTGAGAGGGGGGCCAGACTGGGCTATTTGACCCTACATAATGGTTTGTAACCCTAGCTGCAAGTTGGAATCACCTGGGGAAATTTTAAAAACACTGATATACAAGTCTCACCCAGAACAAAATCTTAGAATCTCTGGGTGTGGGCCCAAGCATGGCCTAGCTGATTTGCTTTTTCTTTTTAACTTTGTATTATGAAAGAGTTCTGACATGCACGATTGAAACAGTACAGTGAGCTCTCTCAGGTGTCCGCCACTCACCTGCGACGTGTATGACGTCACGCGCGGTCTGCACGCGTAGCTGTGTTTACTCGTGCTCCTCCGCCCACTCCGGGTTATTCTGAGGCACATCCCAGCCATCGTATCATTTCAGCCATAAATATTCCAGTATGTATCTCTAAGTGATAAAGGCTCTGTTTTAAAAAAACTAGAGTTCATTAAAAATAACTATAATACCATTAGCTCATCCCCTAAATTGACAGTAAATTACCATCTAGTAGTTAGCTTTCCAATTTCTTTATCCTCTCACAAATATGTTACATTCCATTTGTTCTGTTCAAGACCCAAATAAGAGTCACACAGAGCATTTAGCTGATCTGTCTCTATACATTTGTCCCGCCTCGTTTTGCCCCACTGCATGTTATTTGTAAGGAAACCAGAACATTTGCCTGTAGAGTTCTCACCCTTAACAGTTCTGCCGGTTGCTTCCTGCGGTGTATTTTACCATGTGCTCCTGTCTCATATCTTTGTTGTAAACAGGTATTTTGTCTTGAGACTCGATCCAACTCAGGTTAGATTGTGAGGCAAGCGTGCTTCAAAGATGGTACTATGTCCTTCTGTCAGGAGGGCCCTACTGTCCAGTTGTCTTTTTGTGATGCTAGCAGCCATTGGTGATCATTACCTAGGTCCATTAATTTATTGCGAAGATGCTGCCCATGCACAGCCAGGACTAGAACCACTGGTTGACACAGTCCTGAGGGAATGCCCCAGTTCCTCGCTCCTTTTGCCCAGCCCTTGAACAGAGCCAGGAGGAGGTGCAGTGGCCCTGGTTCAAGGCCCAAGTTGCTGCGAGTCTCCTTTTCCCCTCGTCCTGCCATTGTTGTCCCTTCTCCCTCATTCAGTTGATTACACACAATTATTTAGAAGCACAGGCATTATTGTTTTGGAGGCTTACCATTGTGACCTCTCAGCCAACTGAGGTATAAGGTCTAGACAGCCCTTGTTTGTCTCATGCACCTGGTGATTTTAAAAGAACAGCTTTTGTTTTTGTTTGGGGATGTGTGGTTTATATGAGATTTGGAGATGGGGTGAAGTAGTCTGTCTGACTTACCTTTCTGATTCTCCTTAGCTCAGGACAATTTTTAAAATGTGTCTTTATTTCTTTAGCAAATAGTGTTTGTCCGAGTTTTGGGTGTCTGTGGTAGAACTTCACGGGGTCAGGGGACGGCTGAAGAGTGGGTCTCGGCACATTCCGCAGATCCGTCATCTGCCTGGTTACTGTGCTTTGTGTTTGGGGCTCTGAGTAATATTTTAGTTGTGAAAAGGATCCTGCATCTAAATAGAGCTACAAAGTCACATTGGGATAAATAGCATAAGAAAGGTATCCCCAGAGTTTTGGGGGGGCACAGGAGGCTAGACTGCAGAATTTGACATATATTCAATAGAGAGAACAATTCTAGTTGGTAAGTAGTTGTTGTGTTGGGTAAGTAGAACGTCTGCCAGGGTGACACATTGCTCTTTGAACTGTGGAAATTGAGTCCCAAATGACTGCAAAATGACTGCATGAGGTTGGACGAGACTGTGACTGTAGGCTGTGCATTTCTTAGCCAGCTCAGGTTGTCCTAACACATGACACAGTTTCAGGAGGCTTCAGCATCAGAAATCAATTTTTTCACAGTTCTGGAGGCTGGAAGTTTAAGATCAAAGTGTTGGCAGGTTTGGTTTCTCCTGAGGCCTCTCACCTTGGCTTGCAGATGGCCGCCTCCTGGGGTCTTCACATGACCTGTGTTTTGAGTACCTGTGGTATTTCATCCTCCTCTTACAAGAACATCAGTCCTGTTGGCTTAAGGCCTCACTTTTATAACCTCATTTAGCCTTAATTACCTCTTTAATGGTTCTATCTCCAAGTATAGTCATTTTAAGTGTTCAGATTCAGCATATGAACTTGGGGGAGGGGCACAAGGTAGCCCATAGAAGAGAAGGAGAATCCCTGAACTAGGATGCTTTGGGTGTGGTAGGCAGGAGTGAGTGGCCCTGAGGAGCCCAGTCATTAGGCCCAGGATGCTTGGTCTTGGGCAGGGAGTGGGCAGCTGGAGGACAGTGACTTGCTGCAGAGCTCAGGGTTGTAGGTCAGAGCCTGTAGGGAGCCAGCCCTGGGCTATGAGGTGGGCACCGTGTCTTGGGAACAGGAGAGATCACAGCCATCAGCTCTGGGGTCCACCCTCAGGCCTGACGAGCAGCAAGGGTGATCCTGGGCTGAGGTTCTGTGGGAGTCGGCTTCGGTGGCCACACACCTGCCTTCTGTCTGTGAGTTAGCGAGAAGCGTGTGCCGGGCCCTGGAGGGCCCGTTCCAGGGGCATTGCCTCTCCTGCAGGACTCAGCTGTCCAACCTGCCCCCAAGGAGGGGCCAGCAGCCCAAAGCACAGCATCCAAGGAAGTGTCATAAATGCAGGTCCCAGCTGAGTTGGGATTAATATCCAAGAGTTGACTCTGGCATCTAGCCATTGGCCAAGGCCCCAGGAACAGAGTGTGGTTTACCCTGGGAGAGGGGATGTCAAAACTAGACAGTTATCAAGACTAGCCAAGTGGTCTGGGGTTCCCAGTGAGGCTCCAGCACTAGGCTGTAAGTGGGGGGTGTGAGGTGGAGTACAAATCAGTGTCTGAGGCAGAAGCTCATCGTTGGGAAGGGCCCAACCTATGGGGTTGTGAAAGGAAACTTCAGTCCAGTAGCCCCATAGGTTTTAAGAGCTGTCCAGACCATGGGGGTTTAGGTTGGATGGCAGCAGACTGTTCCCCACAGGCTTCCACTGGGCCAGGCTCCGTTCTCAGCTTGGAAATGATATGGACGGGAGGGGAGAGAGGCCCAACAGGCAGGAAACAGCTGAAAGGGTGGAGAGCCCTTGTTGGGTGTGTGTCAGAGCCTCCTCCTCCTGGCTGGCTGGCCAGCCGATAGTGTGGCTTCCATGCTGTGCACCTAGCACGGTGCTGCCGCCTCCCAGTGAGGAGGAGAAACCCTTCCTGCGTGGCAACTGATGGTCTGCTTGGAGCCAAAAGATATACATAAAGCTTTAGCAATAGAAGGCAGGATAGCCATGAAACAGTAAGAGTTCAGAGAAGGAAGGACAGACAGGGAATTGTGACAGGCTGAAGATTTTAGGGAAGATTATTTTCCAAAAATGTTTTGTGAAAACTTTTAAATGTCCAGAAAAATTGAGAGAATACGTGTCCCACTTAGATTTAGCAGTAGTTAACATTTTGCCTCCTTTGGTTTTATATAACTCTGTGTGTATAATAGGTAATGTGTGTTTCACGTGCATACATACTCATACTTTTTTTCCTCATAAAATCATTTGAAACTATCATTTGAAACTCAAGCATACATTCCTTAAGAATAAATATACTCTCCTATATAACCCCAAAAGCATAGTCACACATAAGCAAATGAACTATTTCCTGATATCTAATATCCAGGCCCTATGCTAACAATAATAACAGTGAACATTTATTGAGCACCTGTTATGTTCTAGGCACTGTGCTCAGTGCTTTATGGTTATTACCTTGTTTAGTCACCTGAACAAACAGAAGTATCGTTGGTACTATTGTCATCCTATCTTATAGGCGGGGGAACAAGGCTGTTATGTGACTAGTGTGAAGTCTCACAGTGAGAGTATTAAACCATCCCAGACCTAATACTTTCTGACTCCAGAATGTCCCCTCTCGGCCATGACTCTACTAAGGGCTTTCTTTCATGTGAGCCTTCAAGACTCGGGGGGATTGAATGTAGAGAGGAAGGGAAGGAGGGCCTTCCCAGGCAGGGGGTGACACCCTGAGAACACAGTTTGGACATTCAGGAATTGCAGGGAGAACAAGTGACTGGGCTAGCCGCAGTTTGCCTCCTATTTCTCACTCCCTCTGCTTTCCCTTCCCCACGCCGCAGGCATTGCTTCTGTTCTCTTGCTCTGTGACTGAGTTAGAAAAGTAGTTGTCTCAGCTTGTTAGCAACTGTAATGGAAGATTTAGCAGAAGAAAAGGAAAGTGGAAGTGTGGAGATGCCCTATGGACTTTGGTTTTCCCTGTGGCCCACTGCAGTGGGATGGGCAATGAGTCCGGCTTGGTGGTAGAATCTTGCCCAACTGGGTAGTCCACCTTTGGACACAAAGGATCTTGCAGGAAGAGGTCCTTTGCCTTTGAGTGGCCTCACTAGGAACACCGCTGTGGTAAGGTTGGTCTGTACTTGCCGTAATCTTTCTTGTCTTTCCTTCTCCAGCTCACAGACCTCTGAAGAGAGTGCCATTGAGACAGGTTCCAGCAGCTCTACCTTCATCAAGAGAGAGGACGAGACCATTGAGGACATCGACATGATGGATGACATTGGCATAGACTCCTCAGACCTGGTAGAGGACAGCTTTCTTTAACTGGTGGGTTTGAGGGGTACCTTCCACTCCTGGAGCCTCTTTGGATCCTTTTAAGAAAAAAACCACTTTATTGCAATGCAAAGTTTGAGAGGAGGACTTGGATGATGTATAATGAGAAGTTCCTGCCCAAGGGCATCAGGGAGCCTTCTCCTTATGAGTGAATGGGATATTTTGAAGTGAACTTCTTCAGCGTTGCCTCTTGCAATGCTTCAGTAGCATCTCAGCATGTGAAACGTGGAGGTAGATGGACAAGGAAGTGGTGGACCACGGAAGATGAACTTTGTGTTTCCAGGTATTGGTGCGATTCCAACATGCACGATTTTTGTTGCAACAAAACTCCAGCATTGTAATTATGTAAATAACTCTAACCAAGGATGTGTTTAGATTTGTATTAACTATCTTCTCTGGACCTCTGAAGAGACCGACCACTCAACCCATCTATGTACTTCCCGCTTGAAACCTGGCGTCAGCTGCTGTTGAACTTTCTTAGGAAGTACATGCAAAACCACTTTTGAACCTTAAAAGGTACTGGTACTACAGCATTTTACTTTTTTTTAGTGTTGAAGAGATAAAAGCTAATGATTAACCAACCTTGTTTAATAGATTTGGGTCATTTAGAAGCCTGACAACTCATTTTCCTATTGTAATCGATGTTTATAATAATACTACTGTTATCGGTAATGCTAAATGTGTAACATGTAACACGTTTTCCCTACAGAGAAAGCACAATTTTTAAAACATCCTTACTAAGTAGGTGACACGTTTGACAGTTTTTGACATTTATATCAAATAACATCTGTTTCTCTATAAAGTATGGTAATAGCTTTAGTGGATTAAATTTAGCTGAAGGTAGAGAAGAAAGTAGAAGCGGTGTGTCTTCCAGGAAGTCAGAGTTTTTGACTGTGTACTGAGTAGGTCCCCTGATCATTGTACTAAAAACAGTGAACTGCCCTCAGAAGTAGTGGGTTTCAAAACAAACAAGTAAAACCCCTGAATCCTAAATGTTCTCAGTATAAAGACTTACACCTATGGCTCAGATGACTTCTCATGTTATTACCAGTGGAAAATACAGTCATCAGCAGAAAGATGCCACCAGCAGAGGTCTTTTCATGCCTGGTGGTAACTGTGGATCCCGACATATATATTTTAAAAAATTCTACGAACCCTAAAAGAGTCAGAAGAATGTCCTGAATGTGAGCCCTCTTTCTCCATCTCTTACCCCCAAGGAGAAATAGTTTGAAACTCTTGAGACCATAAAGGCATTGCTCAGTGCAGACTGTGTGTGCCTTTGTTTGGAATGTTGGTTCCCAAATGAAACTGGCAGCTGGAACCCCCAGGTGCTAAATCCCCATTCCAGAGATTCTGAATTACTAAGTTTGGGGAGGGGAGCAGAAACCTATAATTTTATAAATTCCCTTGCTCTTCTGATTAGCCCAGTTTGGGAAATGCTGGCTTAGGTTATAGGAAACTGCCATGGGAAAAAAATAATTTAAAATTAGGGACTGGGCCAGAAATCAACCACGCAGGAAGCTTATTTAAATCCTTGGCTTCGGGTCAGTGCCATGTAATGTCGCATGTCTAGCAATTGCTACCCTTCCTTTAACTTTTCAGTGTTAAAAGACTTACATGCTCAGCCTCAGATGAAAGTAAAGACACTGCTTCCCCCTGCATGGGGGAACGGACTCCCTCTTCCCCCGGTCCCCAAAGTGCATGTACAAAAATGATGCAATCCAGTGTACCAAATCTCTAGAACCAGGTCAGTATTTTGGTGGAAATGTAATCAGAAAGTTTTACTGATATTTTGGGGTCAGATGGGAGGGCAAACTGTCACATCCACTGAAACTGTCAAAGAGACCGGTGTGGGTTCATTGGCATTCTCTGCAATGCTGCTTAATCGCTGGCACCATATGAATGAAACATGGGCTGTGATTACTGCAATCACTGTATGTGCTCCTGGCAGGTGATGCTTTGGAAGACATAAAAGCAATAACAAGGTACTTAACTACCTACTGGTGTAATCTCAATGCAAGCTCCAGCTTTCTTATCCACCTTTTTCATAGTATGAAGACTGAGCCAGATTGGCCAATTAAAAAAAAAACAAACCCCACCTGACTAGGTTCTGTTGAGCCAATTAGACTTGAAATATGTTTGTGTTTCTAGAATCACAGCTCAAGCGTTCTGTTTATCACTCACTCTCCCTTGTACAGCCTTCTTTTTGGTACTTTGCATTTTGCTGTTCCTTTGAGTCTCGAGTGACTTCAGCAGGCTGGCTGGAAATTCTCAGGCCGGCAGGTTCCAGTCCTAATGAAGGTCCCACCTGAGCTGGTGTGTAATTGCATTTTTTAAAAAGTGTTTTCAGCGTATCATAGATTCGTTTCCTGAATGGCCTCCTGCAAAGTCCCCAGATGAAAATTTGCCAATTCTTCCTATTTTCTGTGTTTATGAAGACAATCAAAGCTGGCCTCAGAGACACAATTTGTGACTTTTAAAATGATCAACGATGTCCTTAAAATGTGGTCTGCCAATCTGTAACAAAATGGTCCTATTTTCATGAAGAGGGACATAAGATAAGATGATGTTATACATCAATATGTATATATGTATTTCTATGTAGACTTGGAGAATACTGCCAAAACATTTATGACAAGCTGTATCACTGCCTTTGTTTATATTTTTTTAACTGTGATATTCCCCACAGGCACATTAACTGTTGCACTTTTGAATGTCCAAAATTTATATTTTAGAAATAATAAAGAGAAAAATACGTAAGTGTTCCCAAACCGTGGTGTGGTGAATGTGTGAGAACTAACTCGATCGTAAGGGTCTTCCGATGCAAAATGTATTACAAATCCCCGCTCATGTTTTTGTTCTTAAACATGTAAATGAAGATCTTTATATTTCAATAAATGAGATATATATAATTTAAAGTTATGCTAAGGTTCCAGCATTTTTGTCTCTAGTTTAATCATATAAATTAAAGCAATCTTGTTCAGGTTTTTTTCTTAGCAACATTCCAGCAGGACTCTGTATTGAGGTTTTTTTAAAAAAAAAATTTTAACTATATTGAATATTCACAGAAAACCAAACAAACAAATAAGCAAACAAACAAAAAAACACATAGGCTCCAGGGGAAAAAAATGGTATTAAAACTTAGTTGACCAAACAGGATTTAAAGCTCCAAGAGATTAATAAAATTTTCCTAAAGTTAAAAAAATAAAACATTGCTGGCAGTAGGTTAAAAACATAACTTAGCTTTCCTAAAATGCATTTCCACTATATTTCCCTTGTTTTGTTTATTTATTTATTTACAATTTTAAAAAATTGTATTAAGGTTTTGATGAAGCCAACTGGAAACTTAAGGCGTAAAAACCGTTTTAGCTTAGTTCTCAGACCCAGCATTTGACTGAAAGATGATTGGCACTTGGCTCATCTTTGATTCTATCTTTACTTGTTTGTTTGTTATATGAGCATATTGTTATTTTTAAATTTAAATTTCATTTTTCAATTACAGTTTACTTTCAGTATTACTTTATAGTCAGTTCAGGTGGACAGCAGAGTGGTTAGACGGTCACAGAGTGTTTATGTAGCGTCCCTCCGATATTTCCGGGACCCATCTGACGCCACACCTAGTTGTTACAATATTACTGCCTGTATTTCCTATGCTGTTCGTTTCCTGCCCAGGGCTATTTTGTAAGGACCAGTTTGTACTTCTTAATCCCTTCACCCCTTTCACTTAGCTCTCCGACCCCCTCCTTTCTGGAGACCACCTGCCTGCTCTCTGTGTCTATAGCAGCATATTATTGTGTGATGTTTTCTACCCCATGTAAGTACCCTATGTAAAGAGTATAGGACTGTGTTCACTCTGGACAGCATTCAGACACTACAGAAGCGCGTCCAGTACAAAGTTAAAGACATTTTCCACCACACCTCCTTCTCTGTCCCCGTCCTGTTTCCCAGAGACACGTGCATCATCTGGTGTGCGTTCTTCTGTCCGTCCAGCCCCCTCTGTGCCTCTGCTCATGCACATGCTCAGGCTCACCTCGGAGACGTTGCAGGTTCCATGCCAACCACCGCAGTGAAGCAAGCATCGCGATAAAGCAAGTCGTCCTCTTTCTGCTGGTGTAGGCTCTTGCTCTTAGTGTGTACAACATAACATTGGTGAAGTAGAATAAAGCTATTTTTGCTCTATATTTACCTAGGCAGGATGGTACTTGAGGTTATGCTTTGTAATATGCTTTTCTTTTTAAAGATTCTTTATTTTTTAGAGCAGTTTCAGGTTCACAGCCAAGTTGAGAGGGAGGTACAGAATTTTCCCACGTACCCCCTGCCCCTGCACATGCACAGCCTCCCCCATCACCACCCCCCACAGAGTGGTGCACCTGTCACAGTCCATGACACGTCCTTGTCACCAGGGTTCCCAGCGCTTTTTATTTTCAGTACTACGTTTTGGAGATTTACGTGAGAAGTATATTGTAGATAGACCTCCCTCATTTTTTTATCAGCTGCATAGTATCCCACTAGGCAACTGTATTATAATTGTGCCCTCAGGTTCCCATAGATGCTTTTATAGTTTCCAATTCTTTGCTATTAAAATGATTTCATGATCATCTTAGTACACAGAGTAGTGTTTTGTTAGCATAGGTTCCTAGAATTAAAATCACTAGGCTCAAGGGTGTGCAGAGATGAATTGCTATTGAGCTCAAGTCTTCAGATCCAGCTGGCACACTGAATTCTTGAACATCGCATGTGAACCACCTGCTTGGAGACTACCTGCAGCGCCGGGCTCTCCTCACTTCATGTCACTCTCAGTGATGCAGTATGTATGGGAGTGTGTGGGCCTTTGTATTCTGAACAATGCCAGTCAAATGACTGGGAATATAAAAAATGGTACGACTCGCCTTCAATGTCTGGATAATGGAAATTGGTTATGTGGTTAATAACTGGAATATAGCACCCTACCCCAACCTAACTCCTGTTACCCAAGTTCAAGTAGTCTGTGAATTCAAACACACCTCCTCGGAGTTAAGAGCTGGAAGGAGCTGCTGAAGGTTGGCTATGGGCTTGGCCTCTGTTCCAGCCCCAGGAAGGAGACAGATCATTCTGCTGATTGAACAATGGCAGCCTAATCTAGCATTAAATCCATGCGTCAAGCCTGCAGAGAGATCTTTTTATTCGCAATTTTACCTCTTAATATCATGCAGACAATTCTGCATCCTTCGTCTTGTGTGTTACCACTGGACCATTTTGACATTTTTTGGACGATACTCTTTACATTGACTTATTTTGATGCAGAGCATAGTGCTTTGAATCTGGGGAGACATTTTGTAGATGAGGAAACCAAGTGACTTGTGAAAAGCACGCGGCTGACGAATGAGAGCACTGAGGTCAGAAATTTCAAATACACAAACTCCAGTGCTGTTCCTGTGCTGTGGTGAACCATGGAAAAGCAAGAGCGGGTGGGAAATGTCTGTGCTCAGATGCGCAGTAGGTTGCTCTGCTCCTTGAGATGTTTCAAAAGACGAGGGATGGACTGGTGGTCGTTGGCCTGCAGAACTCTCATGCATTTGTAATAAGAACAGTCTCTTTTCAGGCTGTACCACAACCGCTCTAATAATGGACATTATGATTTTAATAGTTATGTGCTTCATAAAATGCCATTCAGGGAAATGGCTTAGAATACCTGAATCCATCATAAACTAGGCAATTTTCCCTGGGATAACAGAGCAATAGAAATGCTTCATTATCTCAGACACCAAACGCATATACGAATTAAACTGAACCACATTGTTATAGCAAAATCAATATACTGCATTTATAATGGGCACAATTTCTTCCACAATTAAAATATATATGAAAATACATATGTGGCCTTAATTAACATTCCGTTCTGCCTGGTTACATGACTAGCACCGTGTCCTAAAGAATAATGAATGCATCCCTCAAATGTATGCATACATGGCTAATGTTTCCATCACTCACGTGTTAGTCTACATGCAAAGTGATGGAGACATCGAGGACGCATTGTCTCACATGGCAGGGGGAGTGTATTCACTCGCTGTTTCTGGTTTATAGGCTAATTGGAATTTTAAAAAGATTTGCCACATTATCCTGGCAGATGGTATTTTGCTTTATTGTTATTCATGGGCATTAATGACTTCCCTCTGGAGCATGTGTATCCTGTCTGCTTTGAATTGCATTACGTTTCATGCCGACTGCTCCACATGGAATCGGATCTGGTCTCTTCTAGGTGGTGACAAAGCTGCGCACCGCCCAGTTGGTCAAAGTTGGGCACTTGATTAGGAATTAAGTAGCTCTTTGAAATGAGGAAAACGATTTTCTTCTCTGTGCTGAATATCGTGGCCCATTTCTCATCTTCCTCGGCTTGCTCTCCCATGGGGCGGGGCATCGTATCCGGTGCCCGAAGACAATGGCAGAGTTGGATGCGTCTTTTGTCAGCCACGGATTACTAGACATTCTTTCTTTCTCCCTTGGAAGGCGGGGGCTCGGTTTCCTGAATGAGGAAAATGCACGAGAACAGGATGCAATGATCCTCATGCTGAAAATTATTTTTTAATTAATTCCTTCAACAAAATGTATTAGAGAACAGCCTCTTCTTTGTTTACTCGATCTCTCAAATGCCTAAATCTCTAAAAAGCCTGAATGAGGCAGCTGGCAGAGTGGATTCTGCCCAGCTAATCACCTGAGGGGAGCATTATGTCACAGAGTAGTGCAGCGCAGAGCGGAAAATCATCGTAGGTGGAAGCCGCAGTCCTTACCTGGAAGCAACAAAAAGTCAGAAAAGTGGGAGACAGAATCTAGTGTATCGGAGCCTTGGGATAAACCTGAAGCTTTTTTGTGACCGGAGGACACAGCATCCTGTTAGAACAACTGCGAGTGAGGAGCTGAGGCTGCTGTAGCCCTCACCTGGTGGGCTTGCTTCCTGCAATCCCTGCCCTTGATTGGTTCTAGATACTTCCCTGGCCACCTTCATATACATGCTCCCCAACTATTATCCCTCTGTTTTTCAATGTTATTTAGTGAGGCACTGGGATTCAGGAAGTAATACAAGAGGCAGGATCTCCACATCATGCAAGACAGGGACATTCTCTCTCTATGGCAGAGGCATAGTTGAGTGATAATAAAATAAAGACAATGTCTCCTGCTAGAACAAAGGCTGGCCAGATTTGCTTATAGCCTGTCATAAAAGATTGGGGCTCCTTTCTTAGGTTTTTTCAGCTGTGACACAGACCCACTAAATGTGGAGAATCCTCCCAGGCTACTTTGCATTGACCCCACAGAGCCTGGGGAACAAGGAGAATGGACATAAATACAAAGTTCACGCTTTTACTCTACTGTGAGTAGTAAAGTCCTTTCTTTCTGACCCAGGCATCTTGTGACTTCTGACAGCATCCATGAACATGAGGCTGGCTAACATTTTACCTTATAAATACGAAAGAAACCTCAGACCCCTCACAGTTCTTGACATTAACTTGAGAAAGTACCAGTCAAGTAAGATCTCTTTTATCTTTTTCCTTCTTCCCCAAATGATATTCTCCTTAATCCTGGAGGAACCAGTGGCAACACAGTAACTAGGAAATTAGTGGAATAAAAAAGCTCTAGTTGGGGGAATAGAGAAGGAATTGGCCACATTCATCTGTTTACCACCGTAGCCTTTTCTTCCATAGGTCAAAGGTGGAGAAATAGAAATTAAAACCTCACATGACATTCAGAGTTTATTGTTGCTCCATGGGGGGACCAGTGAACATTTTATTATTGAGGCAAAGTCAGAAATGTCAACGGGTGTATTCTAAATTTCAGCCAAAGGGACAGGAAGACTGAACTCTACAGAATAGCTATGTAGGGGGAAGTTATGAGACAATCATTATTTAGGGTTATTTTCTATTGTTTACATATTCAACCTACCATTACAC